GGAAGTCTGAATGAAGTGGGAAGTCTGAATGAAGTGGGAAGTCTGAATGAAGTGGGAAGTCTGAATGAAGTGGGAAGTCTGAATGAAGAGGGAAGCCTGAATGAAGTGGGAAGTCTGAATGAAGTGGGAAGTCTGAATGAAGTGGGAAGTCTGAATGCAGTGGAATGAAGTGGGAAGCAAGAATAAAGTTGGGAAGCCTGAATGTAAAAGCAAGGGAAAGACAAACTCGACGAAACATTGTATAATACACGAAATTCGCAGAATGGACATTTCTCGAGACTGACGGCGACAGATATCAAAACCTTGCGCAGAGGAAAAACGAAAAACGAAAATGGAACATTAACAGTAGTAACTAACCTCTTTGGATACTTGCTTGATCATTAACTGTAGTTCAAGCCAAGATTTACGTAACGACCATTGATCGAGGCTCTGAAGGAAGATTAGACAAATTTACAGGGTGAATTTCATTCTAGTGTCACAATCATTACAAGCCACAAGCATGCGCAATGTTGTTCGCTTTCATTTTCGATAACATCTGAAGGCTGGTTAATACATGAATATATATATTTCTATATATCTATATATATCTATATATCTATATATATCTATATATATACACACACTTGATTGCAGGAAGGTTGTAGTATACATTTAAACAAATACCTAATTTATTCAGTATATTTTTATGATATGCAAAACCGAAAACTCGCTTTATTTATCATTTGTTTTATTCAATGAACGTCAAAATATTTTATTCTTGTGTTTTATATCCTACAGACTATAAATCAATTGGTTTTGAGGGTTAAAAAAGTAAAATTGCAATATGCATCTCATTAGGTATTTGTATAAATGTATAAATGTATACTACAACGTTTCTGCAATCGAGTGTATACATATATATATATATATCAAGGGTGGTGTAGTGGTAGTACACTCGTCTCTCACCTCTGGGGAATCACGTGAGTAGAGTTCCTTAGGTCTCGCTCTTGATTAGAGGGTTTTATTCGAGGCTCCTCAGTTCCCCCCCGCAAAATCTAGCACGCTAATTCCAATTCGATCTGTGAGTCAACCATGCCCTGACTTAGATCAGGCTAAAGGTTGTTTCAGGGTTCGATCTATTCTAGCCGTGCCCTGACTTTGATCAGCCCAGAGGTTGTTTCAGGGTTCGATCTATTCTAGCCGTGCCCTGACTTAGATCAGGCCAAAGGTTGTTTCAGGGTTCGATCTATTCTAGCCGTGCCCTGACTTAGATCAGCCCAGAGGTTGTTTCAGAGCATCGATAAAATTCAAAGGAACCATACCTGAAGAATACTCGAAGCAGCTTCATCGATTGTTTCCATTTCGTTGCTGGAAGTGAGGGGCATAGAGCCATCAAGGCATGACGAGATACCAGCAGGGTAGCAAATCAAATGGAGAAGTTTTCTCAGCTACAGAGAGCCATTATTGAATATTAATACGGATTAATATGACAGATAACTACTGGTTCTAGTAAAATATTTTTTTAAGTGTGAAAACACAGAAAGTATGCAAGGTCACGTGAAGGAATCGTACCAATAACAGCGCACGAGATCTCTGATTAGCCAATCAAAATGATTCGACATCGACACGGTCGCGGTACGTTACATCCAGGATAATTTCAAATCGTCTCGATTTGCATTTACTCTCCCCTCCCCTCGTAAATGAAAAACCAGTCATTTATAATCATTTATAATCAAGGACATACCTGGTTGACGGTCAATTCAGGATCGAGCAGTAATTCAGGTGAGAAGAGTATCTGAGGGTCCTGAAGACACCGCTCTCGCACCCATTCCTGACCACAAATCACTTGTAGTGTGAAGCCTGCGAAAGCACTTGTGTTGGAGGTTTCCATTGCTAAAGAAATAACACAACCAGTAATGAAATAACATATACCCTCCATACATATTATATTCAAGTACGTTTACTGGTGAGTCAAGATGAAAATTTCACAAACATTTTAAAAAGAAACAGGAGTTGCTCAATTTAGGAGTAAAGTCAACTATTTTTAGTTCTTTTAGTCTCCCCTGTCCTAGACTAAAAATTCCAACACAAAAATCTGGCTCTTTCTTGGTGTAAAAGGGCACCTAAGCCATGAAGACAATAAAACAATAGCCGTGAACAATGAATTTGGAGCTAAACAATACCCTGCAATACAGTAACCCTAACCCAGAATACAATAGAGGTTGCTACACCAAAAAGACTAACGTCCGAAACGTCAGTAAGTTTTTTTCATCTTTTCACGGTGTATAATTTACCTTTTCATCATTACTGTTTCATTAGAAACATCGACGCAGCTCACACTAGTTTTTAGCTAGTTATCTCTTCAAGAAAGACCCAGCGATATTACCTGATCTACTAGTAGCCAAGGGCACAGGGAAGATATCTCCTGTTCCAGACGTTGTGTCTGTGAAATCGTCCAGTCGCGAGGAGAACAGCCCTCTAAAGCCATCATCACGTGATACATCTGGACCATGTGACACAACTCTCCCGCCACGACCTGAAAAAACAATTTTTAAATGAGTAAGATTGGTATTGAATAGGCCATTTTAAATACTGCATTCTTGGACCCAGACCCTACTCATTGGTCATATCGTGGTTCCGTGAAGTGTGTAGAGTCTGGGTACCGCTGTGTTCCTTGATTACAGGCTCATTTACTCAGGATTAGCCTCGAATCAGTGTTTAAATATTCACAAATATCAATGGTGAAGTAAAGAAAGCACAACTTCAACAATACAAACACTTTATGATCCCATTATACTTTACTGGAACATGGAACACGTTAATATTCTACTCAAAATCAATAGAGGCTAACCCTGAGCAACAGAGAAATCGAAACTGGAGTATCCCTATTCGACCTCCGCCATCTTGAAACTGCATTATACCACAGGTAGCCCAGTAAAAGGTAAGAACCAGTGTGCGATGTTGCGCATGAATGCAACACCTTGTAGTTACCTGATTCCGAGAGTCGTAACATGGCTTTAAGCACGGTTAGTATAGCATGTACTCCTATATTATCATGGGCGGCGACCAGTAGGTAATGGTCTGGTGACGTCTTGAAAGGAAACTTTGAAACACTGGAATGATCATGTGACATGAAGTCTGTCTTCTCGTCCAATAGGCGTAGGAGAAGATGACACGTCAATCGTGCTCCTGCATCTGCCTCCTGATTGTCACCTCCTGGATAAGAAAAGAAATGAGTAAATGAAATATTGAAAATAAATGGTAATGGAAGGATGGATGGTGGTGGATGGTTAGGATGGATAGGTGGGTGCAATGATCAATGGATGGGATGGAAACATAGGTGGCTGACTGGAAGGGTGGATAAATGGATGAGATCTGGGTGACTGCATGGATACATGGTGCATGGATGAATGTATGGATGGGTGCATGGATTGACGGGATAGATGGATTGAGGGATGGAAGTGTGGGATTATGGCGAACAGATGAATGGAAGTATAGATGGATAGATGGAAGGAAGGATAGATGGAAGGAAGGATAGATGGGTGGGTCCTGAGGTTGATCATGATCCTTACCTGACTTAATGGCGTCCAACAGTGAGTCCATTGCCACGTGATAGATAACATCTTCCAATGAGAAACAACCTCTAGCAATCATGATTGCGGTGAAGGTGGCCACTGATTCATGGATGGACAGATCACTAACCTAAAAAGAACAAAAACACACTCCCATCGTCACTCAAAGTAGACTCCCCATGCAACGGCAATTTTATAAGTACATTTAAACGGTAGCATAGGCCTTCTATGAGAATAAGCAACAAGGTGCATTGGTCTAGTTTGAGTACAAACAACACCTTATAAAACAATAGAAATATTTGCACCCAAGCTAAACCACAATGCACTACGTTTCTATATTAGGAAAGGGCTAAAGAATCTAAGATAACGTACCTCGACTTCTAAGAGAAGATCTACAAAGCCACAAGAATTACTAGATGAGCAGCACAAGGCCTTTAGAACTCCAAGCCACTCCGAGCTGAGTCTACCATAATGAGCTGTTACTTCTGCGCATAGGACGGCAATGTCAAATAACCTAGAAAGAAAGGTTAGTTGTGTTATTGATAGGAAGAGAATCGAGCAAACAAAAGCATAATGTTCGCCACTATCTTATAGAATCCATTACTTCTTGTCAATCTTATAAGCGGGATTTATAATTGATTGTTTATTTACCGTTACAGAATCCATTCATTTATTCATTCATACATGCATCTATTCATTAATGCGTGCATGCATCAATCCATCCATCCACCCTCCCATTTATCCTTTCACAAATCCATACATTTATCCTTTCCACCCCTCCGTACACACTTCCAATGGCCCACCCATTCACCCTTACAGCAACCTTTCTTTCTACATAGCCCACCCATCAATCCATACTTCCAATGTCCCATCCGACCATCCATCCACCCATCCATCAATCCTTCCATCTTTCCATCAATTTTCAATTGATTTTCCATGACCAACATCATCAGTTATTTATCACTACCACCAATTCATGATCATCATGATCTTCATCTCCATAGTTTGCCTCACCTCTCGCTATTCTGACAGTTGCAAACATTCATCAGAGCATTGCAAACAAAGCTATAAATATCTGATTGTCTCTTGTTTGCCAGAAGATGTTCCCACATTAAATTCTGTTTCATTGACCTGAAAAATAAAGATGGTTTATTAACAACTCAGACCAAATGGTTAAGTTAATCAATTTTCCATAACAACAGAACACGTGGCCTTATTTCTTTAAACCAAGCACTTGTGTCAAAATGAACAAAAACATGGAAAGATGGTGAAGTTCATACTGATAATATGTAACACGGTAGAAAAGGCATTTAATAAAAAATTGTTTTTGCAGAATTTACATGGAAAAAAATTCATTAGAAGTCAATATCTAGTCCAACGAAGCAAGACGATTCTCTCTGTCTTGTCGTCTTTAATGGTTTATGGTGAATATTTCATCGCATTATAGCTCTTTCTGAGCTCATTGAACAGCATGCATTGTGGTCTTATACAACAACATATAAAGCATAAAGATGTTTGCACCCAATCTACACCACAATACACCATGCTCAGAAACTGTTTCTATTAGCCATTCTGAGGTTTAGTAAAAGACCGGGTTGAGTTGGATTTGCAGTTCACTTTGGGAGTGTTTTGAAGGCGAAATAGACGCCATCTATCCATCAAAAATGTCGCCGAAAACAGTCCCACGATGCACTGTAATGCCAACTCGACCACACACTTTTCAACAACACTGTGCAACAAATCTCTCACCTTGGATTATTGAAGAATTCCATCATAAACTTTGGATCATACTGTGCTGTTGATGCTGAAGGGGTGATACTAGAGCAGATATTTTTTCTGATCTTAGTGTGAGCTGTGCTGAAAATATCTGCAAACCTCAACTGTGAAGAGAAAAGTTCGGCATGTAAATGTTAAGCACAGAAAAATGTTGAGCTTTCTCAGCACTTTGTTCTGCAGAATTCTCATGAACAGCTAACTGGACAGCTCAGGATCACTGCTGATTGCTACCCACATAGCTGCTGTATCTTTTGAAATCGTTTTTCTTTAGTTTCTCTAGTTTTCCACCCCACCATTCGCAAAAATCAACTTCCAAATTTAAAATCGATCACAGATTGAGAGCCACAGGTTTGTTGGGCAATGAAAGTGTTATCCTCAAAAATTAGAGGCATGTAAGTACAATATAGGTGTTTATAGTTTTTAGTGTTCTTATTGAAATGTACCTCAAGGATGGTGCTTAGAGAGTACACGTCATGGAGATAAGCCAGGATACATCTCTCAGACGACGTACACATACTCGGATCAGAGATGTTTTCCACTGTGTGAAGCAGTCTGCAAGTAAAACAACAAAGTGAAAAATAAATTTGTAAACCTTTTCTTACGAAATTGTTAAAGACGTGGTTGACATTTTTATGTTGTTCAATTCGATGTTGATGCACATGAGAAGAAACGTGAATATGGATACAACTTAAAAAAATGACATGTGGTCTGAAATGAGAAAGCATTACATGCAAGGGAAAGAGGTCTAACAGACAAAAAAAATGTCAAAAATTTTTGATCATAGAGGACGTCAAGATTGTTGTCTTTAAAACTCCTTTTCACTAGAGATGACGTTAAAAATGCTGCATATTCTGACGTCAACATAACATAAAGCTAAATAAAGCGAGTTATTTGAAGTAAAAACCTTTCCTGACTCACCCTCTAAACACCCTAGCGAGATGATCCGGCAACAGCGACAGACAAGTGTGATATCGCCGCAGCATAGCAACAGTCAAAATAGTCTTGGATGGTACTGTTCCCACAGCAGGTGATACGGGAGGCATTTGGATTGGAAATTCCTCATCCGGCATCAGAACATTAGAAATGAAGTCAAGCAAGCCGTGTATGTCTCCTGATAGTTCAAACAAGTCAAAGAGAAACACCAGTTGGTCGATACTTGGCACGGGGCCGGACAGGCCGAAGACGGAAGACGTGGTCTGACGATACTCCTGTAGGGCATTAGCACAGTCTGTGACGGCTGTGTACTGCTCGAAGCAAGGAAGGCTGGAGAATTTACTAGAAAATGAAATGAAAAGGGTCAGAGGTCTGGATTCTTATTACAGTGAAGAAAAAAAGACACAGCACGGTCATGATACACGGTCATGTCAACATTTTCTGCCGGCACCAATCAGAACGTGCCAGATATTGAATGAAGATGCTTGAACATAACACGTCACAGACATTTAAGTGGCTTCTTCCGGTTCACATATATATACAAAAAGTATCCTTACTTATACAGGTTGGATACTTGTTCCTCAAATGCTCGTCTTGTAGAAAGTGCGGTACTCTTTAGGCACTGGCTGTACTCGTAACTACCACCATACTGTGGACCTAAGAAAAGTATATTTGACGTTAGCCACAGTTCTTGGGGTACATGTAATGTACGTCATAGTAGTTATGTTGGTTGACCTGATTGACTTAGGCTTGGGTTCTATTGACACACTAATTTATTGGCATCAGTGACTGCGAAAAGAGATATTGAGGTTAGCCCTATTGTGAATATCTCCTTGGATCGAATTAGAATTTAGTAGTTGATTTTTGAGGAGGGAGGAAAGCCGGAGAACCCAGAGAGAAACCCTCGAAGACCAGGAGAGAACCAACAAACAACTCACTTCACATGCAACACTGAGCTCGTCGGGATTCGAACCCGGGTCACATTGGTGAGCACTCTCACCGCTACGCCACCAATGCTTCCCATATTTCTCTATTCTCACTATGGGAAGGGATCCTGGCCAAGTTTAGCTGGATGGGAACAAGTCATTTTGTGCCACACCGGACGTAGGGCATATATATTTAGATATTTATCTGCTTTAAATCTCAGAGCAGCTTAAGCACGCGAAGCTTAAGTTATGACTATAATAGTCATAAGTACTTAATGTGATAAACCCCATATTATTCATTAAAAAACAGACATATAGTCATCAAAAATTCACGCTAAATCCATGGGTAGCAAAATATGAAGATTTAGGATTTTTGCCCTGTAGTGGGGGAACCTAAATAATTGCCAGTACTTACTCGCTAGATCTCGAAGCATTTTCATCAAAGAGTTTGTTATTTCTTTACTCTTGTTTATAGCTTCTGTCCTGGATTTTCCTACTCCATACAGAAGTATTAGCCGCTGATTCAAGTCGTGCTGGGTGCCACATTCAAAAGGAATAGGAAAATGAGTAGCGTATTGTACATGCTGGGATTTTTTGGCGTGGTGTTGTTTAGTGTCTATGTGAGAGAGGTCTTTCTGGTCAAGTAAGACGGTGTCACTCTGGGATAACAGCTTTAGACTTTCTTGGGATACTGTGGAGGAATGAAGAAAAATGTGAAAAAAGTAGAAAGGAAAAACTAGAGAACCGAAGGGGAAATAAAAGTGGGAGGATTGGGAAAGGAAAGAGGAAAGGAAAGAACAATGAGAAATTAAATTCAATATAAAAACAATGGTAAATGGAAAGAAGGAGAAGGGAGAAAGAGAATGAGTTGAAAGAAAGGAGTGGAAAGCAATGGGAAAGGAAATGAAAAATCTTAGAAAGTTGAAAAAGGAAGGAAAATATTAATAATAAATAAATGAAATTCACAGGAAAGGAAAGAAAAGGGTTTGTGCACCTTTACGCATGACAACTTCAAAAATGAATGATTTCATTTTACTTTTTTTTTTTTGCATAAAAAATGAATATGAGACAAATTCTATTGACCCTTTGCATGTGACGTCAAAGCAGCTCAATTTGGAGGACAAAACAAAATAATCTTAATCTCTTGAGAATTATTAACCTATTGTTATGTCCTCCAAATTGAGCTGCATTTAGACGTACTGCAAAGGGATTATTCCTCCATCCCCCAAGCTCTGAGAGTCTCACAATACAATACCGTGGTGTAGGTTAACATGGGTTGCATCTGATCCAAGGGACACCTGAAGGGTTTGAGGTAAGTGTGGATCATGATCTGGAAATGGTTCATTGTCTCCCTGGTCTAGTAATCGCTGTAATCTTTCCTGGTGTAGGAGTAGCTCTCGGTCTATTTCCAGTTGTTGACTGTTGCCAATAACTTCATCATGACTTGACTATAGCACAGAGACAAAAAGACGCAATTTCAAAAAAACCTTCAAATTTTATCAAAACCCTCAAACAGCATCTAGGATGATCAATGCCAGGGCATGGATAACTCACAGATGTAATTGAAATTTAGTAAGGATCATTCTCTGGGTTCTCTGGTTTACCTCCCTCCTTATAAATCGACTTCTGGAACCTAGTTCTGCTGTAATTGATTATTTTTACTTATGTGCGCATGTCCCAAATGTAAATGGCTAATCATTATTGATGCGTTCATGATTCAAACTGGAGTGACTTATAAACAGTTTATTGGAGTAAAGCAATGGTACATACCATCTGTATGTCAAGACTACCATGTGCATCTCCTTCCTGCACACACTCTTCAATGTGTTCCATTTCAGGGGGGTTCAGGAAGCTCTCATGAGTCTGTCTGGGAGGGGAGGTTATAGATATGGGGGGAGTAGGCTGTAGGTCTCCTCGAGATATCAGATTAAACATATATGCATTATGAGAGAACGCATCATGGCGGATGAGTTCACCAAATAGAAGAACAAGTTGTGCAAAGCTTGGGTCTCCTTTGCTGTGTTGATAGCTCTCTGAAGAAGATAGAAGAAGGTAGTTAATGTTAGGAGGAAAGTGGCTTCAAATGACTTCACTACAAGAACAGGAGATGCTGTCTATGCAGATACATTAAGGAAAACTTGGCTCTGCCATGAATTGTGAATTTTTTCAACTGAATATACTCAACTTAATTCCTCTCCTCTCCTCTCCTCTCCCTTTGTTTCTTCCCATCTCCTCTCCTTCTCCTCTCCACTTGCCTCCACTCGTCTTGTCTTGCCTTATCTCCTCTCTTTTTGTCTCTTCCCTCTCTTCTCCTCTGCTCTCTTTTTGTCTCCTTTCTATTTTTTCTTTTTCTTTTTTTTTCTTTCTTTTTTTCCATCTCATTTTGTCTCCTCTTGTATTTTCTCCTTTTCTTCCTGTCCCCTTTTCCCCCTAGTTACAGGAACAAAGTAATGTACTAACCCACTACTGGAGCATAGTTGTCCAAGAAAGCCTGTAACACCTTCTGACACACAGGAACGAAATATGATGCAGCACCTGTGTTATCCTCCTTCTTTCCAACAATAAAATAATAATCACTTATTAATCAATGGATTCATCTTTTAGATTCTACTCCCTGGCATGGATCACCTGAATCAATCTCATTACCAGCCTACAATGTCGTGCTATTAACGGTCAAAGAATGAGAACGAATCTTATGAATCTTATTGCCAGCCTATAATGACAGGCAAAGATTGCCCATCCTGTGCGGAATGAATCAGTGATAGGTTGCCCTCCATCCTCGTACATTTTTTATTAATAAGTCGCTATTCAACTGGTAAAATTTCATGTTAGAGCGGACATGAGATCTATCGATGGTAATCAAATACAGAAACATCTTACCTCGTTAGTCATTTCCATTTGTCTTTTCTGTAGTAGCTTAGCAACAACAATAGCACGATGCTTGCCGACTCGATACTTGGTGACAGCCCATTCACACAGGAGAAGAACAATGGCTTGGTCAGTTTGGGACAGCTGTGGAATCAAAGCATAAAACATAACAATTCATGTTGGGTGTTTATTGGAGATGGTTTATTGTATCTCCTGTAGATTGAGTTGCGCAGTATATACAACCAATGACACCATTTTCAACCCCAAGGTATCCCACAATGCATAATATTCAACAAACATGAGCACAAGTGACAGTACAAGAATGCTGTATCAGAAGTATTTTTGACAACATAGCACTTTTTATAAGAGTTGTTATCAAAAACGACCAGAAACTTGGCAGAGCTTAGTTGTTTGAAGGAGCGTAAGGTTGAGTTGTAACTTCAGATGCTTTCCTGCTTGCATTTTAGTAAACTTTTTGCTGGCCAAGACACACAAAAACAATGGCAAGCCATTTCCATGTAACAGCATGTCGTATCATGTGTGTGCTGTAAGTCAGTACAGTATGTTTACCACTCGTACGATAACCATTAATGTCAAGACATGTTGTACTGTGTACGTGCTGTAAGTCAGTATTGTACATTTCCAACTCATAAGATAGCCATTCTTACGGAAAGCCATTTTAATGTTATAGCATGCGGTTCTGTTTAAAAACCCTTTAACTAAAAAATGCTGCTAACCTCATGTTTCTCTTTCAAGGGTGGAAACATCTTAGAATAAAGTTGTTCCAGTGAGTTTTGGCCGCCTGATCTGTTAAAGTCAAACTTATCAAGTATCTCCAGGGTGGAAAGGATACGATGGACAGCAATCGCTGAAACACAGACATCTAGAATAAATAAAAGCGGTTAGCAAGGAGTCTTTTGGATGGGGTGGGCACAACTAACTGTATGAATCATGTATCTTCCATACAAATATATAGTATCAAATATAACTAGTAATCAATTGACAACATGTGCCAGTGAGTTTTAAAAAATTTGGAGTTAAAATCAACTGTAATAGGTCGTTTACGTGATGGTGCCATTTTACTACAACTACCAAGATGCTTCGCATATTTTCTTTCTTATTCAAATTTTATTTCCTTAAGAGAATAAGAAGACAATAGCTGCTAATTAACTGAACAAAAGAAAATGTGCAAGGGATCCTGGTAGTGGTAGTAAATGCTTCTATAATGCAAGTAACCTATTAGGTTTCTAAGGTTATGGAATTTAGGATTTTTATGAGAAAATAAGACACTTGGATACATGATTCATACTATTAATTTCAAAATCATGAGGCTAAAAGGCAAGGTCATAAATGATATCGTACAGCATATACCAGGTGTAGAAGCAATATGCATATGTTGCACTGTACCAAATATTCATCCACCTCTGCAACATATTGCAGACCACATTGCCGGTTGCAATGCAGAAGTTGCAGGAATCAAACATTGGATGTGAGAATTTCATTGGGTAAACACGGGTGTCAGGTATTGGTGGAAATGGTAGTAACTGCATGACAATCCTCAGCAATGACATTTTTGCCTACCAATGCCCACAATGAGCCTGCTCTGCTGATGCCTTCTGTCCCCTCCCCCCTTGGAATAAAATGGGCATGGAAGGTTTGAAGAAAGAGAGATGTTTGACATACATTTTCATATTTTTTGTTTTGCTGTTACAGGAAAAAATGTCATGAGTCCATGGTGTTTCTGTACCATCATCTGTTAGTGTTTAATCGCTCGTACTTGATATCATTTATTAACCAAAATAACCTTTTAACCTCTATATTAATAAACTATTGTTCTCTCTATAACGGTACGATACAAAGTGATCAAAAGAATCTTCCATTGATAAATTAGAGACATGTGAAATACAGTGAGCAGTCAGGGGGTAGAAAGGAGGGTGTACACAATAGATCATTCTGCTTATAATCCAATTTTGAATGCAAGGCTACATGGAAATACAAAAGAAACGCCACAAATTCCATCAAGAAAAGATTTGATTTCTTTGTGTTTTCATGTTTCCAGCCTCACACCCAAGATAATTTAGGGAAGGGTCCATTGGGAGGAGAAAGGAATCCATTTTTGCTGCATCAAAGGGTTGATGTGAAAACGTAGGTGAGATTTGTTTGATAGAGAAAACAATAGTTTACAAGCAAAAATAAAGAAAAGACCCAAACAAGTGCCCAGGCTTTGGAAGATGAAGAAGAAGACAGTCGTAGACATGGCAGCCATGCTGATGAAGGAAGGCTAGAAATACTAGAACAGCGCAGTACGATGTCTGCAGGAACTTGAATAGAATTGTTAGGCAGCATGGTAATAATTCTCTAGTCATAATAATCCTGAAAAAGATACTCAATATATTATATTTTTAGGATTATTTTCAATAACACGGAAAAAAATTCTGGATGGAAAAATATTTGAAAAAAATTTCAATCAAATCAGTATTATGAGTCTTCAACAAACTGAGAATATTTACAACAAAATGGTATAAATTTGTGATATTTTGGAGAAAAGTATGATTGAAAGTGTAATAAAGATAAAAATCATTAATAAATGAATGAATAAATGACTGGATAGACAAAATAAAAATCATTGCTTAATTGATTGTTTAAATGTGATTTTTTTTACATGCACATGCAAAATTATTTTTTTGTCATTTCATTCTTACTCTAGAAAATTTAATTCTTAATCTCATAAGCGTTAAATAAATTGCAAATATGACTAGAGAGTTATCACGACTGCTTTAGGAATCTTTATAGAGTTATGAGTTAGAGATTTAGTTGGTTAGTTAGAGCATTTATGTACAATTGACAGCAAAATATTAGTAAAAATAGAAAATAGAAATTTAAGGACAGATTTTGATGAGCAAGAAAACAAGTATGTTTTTTTTTGTGTGTAGGTTTTTTGGAAGTTTTTCAAGGTTACCATCTCTAATCAGGTAATTATTTTGCTAAGTCATACTAAGAGCAGGTTTGTTCAACTCAAAAAATCAAGACGTAGGGACACCTCTTTGTCTTGATCCAAAAAAAGCATACATGTTAAAGATGGTTGCTCCAAAAAGACCCCTACTTTTTGTATGAATATCAAAAAAATAAATTACAGAACTGTGAAATTCCCAACATTGCATTTTCCTTGTTTTTCAAACATCAGGATTTTTGATTTTTTTGTTTTAATTTATTACTTATGCTTAATGATTATGCAGTTCGGCGACATGTGTTGGCAAACCTTAAGCCCCTCCTCTTCCCATGATTGACAGAACAGTAAAATCTTACTCAAATTTAGTCTGAAAAGGGTAATGATACTGAGGATTTAACAGTGTCATGTATAAAAAAAAAAAAAAAAGTGTAGAGTAAGTAAATTTAGAATAATTTCAAATAATTTTGTACAATTACCTGATGTTTTGTCCTGGTATTTGTCAGGTGACCACCTTGATTCAATAGCCTTTCCTCTGGTCTTGATTTCCTCTTCACTGCCCAGCAGTGCCATCATAATCTGGATTTAAGATTTACAGAGATACCTCTTATTAAACAGACCAGACTACTAGTTGCATAGTCGTACAGTTTTATTAACAATAAACAATTATAATTTTAATATGCAGGCTTAAAAAAGGTTAAACACCAGGGCCTGGTTGAACGAAGGGCAGATAGTGCTATCCAACAAATAAATTTTATTCAGTCAGTAAATTTTGTTGTAACAGCATAAACTTATCCACTGGATAAGGATCTATCTGTCGGATAGCGCTATCTGTCCTTCATACAACTGGGCCCAATATCCTACCTCAGGAGTAAGAAAGTTGTGTCCATTACTGGAAGGTGTAGGCAAAGAAGAAGGTGCCATTGGTAGACGATCTAGAGGAGATCCCAGCACAGCTGGTTTGGCAGCTGCATCATTGCTTGCTGAAGTGTTGGCCTGTGCAGCATTTTGTGGAGCTGAGTTCCAGATCAGAGCTCCAGGACAACTTATTGTCACAGCCTGAAGGATAGCTGCTAATGCAAGTACTAGAGAGTTGTGCTGAGGGCAGTTCTTGTATTGGGATAGGACAGATGACTGGCTGGTTGGAGTTGAACTGAAGCAAGAAAAGACATTAATGTACCAACCAGAGCTACTGAAACAAAGCAAAACAGCCTCCAATAGATTTACCTTTCTGTAGAGCTAGATAGTCCTCCAGGGCCAGACGTCAAGCCACCGGCAGTCACCTTACCAGGAATAGTGGGAGGAGGAGCTGGATTTTGCTGCTCAGACTGCATTTGTTCCGCAGCAGAATATAATGTTGATAACTTTTTGGTGCAGACATGAGTGAGATTCCTTGCTAAAGTCTGAGACAATACAATCTGGTCCACATACTGTGAAATAAGAAGAGATAAGACTTTTAATGCAAGTTGTTCTTGATGCTTGTGAGGTAGAGTCAATTATGTGGTTCTAGCCAACATTTTTGTACACATTGCTAGAGTGGTGTGTCAGTGTAGCACTTCCTTCTCATCTTTGGTATCTTTTGTCACACTCTCTGACTTACAATTATATGTCCCTTGATCAAAGAGCTTTCTACAGGTCCCCCAGTTTTCTTCATTCCCAGTACTAAGCCGTCTGCCTTATATCAGCTCAGTTACAAACCTATTTTCATTGGTGTGTTTCTGATGTAGGCATTTCTTGGAGTTCAAAGTTCTTAATGGGCCACAAATGTAGCTTTGCAGAATAGACTTACCCTTAGAACAAGAGGAATAAGGTACTTTAGAAGCACATCATCACTGGCTTTACCCTTCTCAAGCACATCAAGTAGCCATTGAAGAAACTCTTGCCTGTCCAGCAGGCTTTCCTGGAAAGATAAAATGACCTTGAAAAACTTGTACAAATTTGATTGATTGATAAATAATTGAGGGACTGAATGACTGACTGACTACTGTCTGACTGATAAATGACTGACTGACTGATTGACTGATTAACTGATGACTGACTGACTGATGACTGACTGATTGACTGATTAACTGATGACTGACTAGCTGACTGACTGATGACTGACTGACTGAATGGCTGACTGACTGACTGATGACTGACTGACTGACTGATGACTTCCTGACTGATGACTGATTGACTGAATGGCTGACTGACTGATGACTGACTGATGACTGACTGATGACTGACTGACTGATGACTGAATGACTGAATGGCTGACTGATGACTGACTGATGACTGACTGATGACTGACTGACTGACTGATGACTGACTGACTGATNTAAGTGTCAGCTTGAAAGAGGAAGTCTACCCCATGTTGTGACCATAAGTAGTACTTGACTGAATCAGTTTGACTGACTGACTCACTCACTCACTCAATCACTGACTGGCTGACTGACTCACTGACTGACTTGACTGTGCATGACTGACTGACTGACGACTGACTGACTGATGACTGACTGACTGATGACTGACTGACTTATGACTGACTGACTTATGACTGACTGACTTATGACTGACTGACTGACTGACTGATGACTGACTGACTGATGACTGACTGACTGATGACTGATGACTGACTGACTGATGACTGACTGACTTATGACTGACTGACTGACTGATGACTGATGACTGACTGACTGATGACTGACTGACTGAATGGCTGAATGACTGACTGACTGGTCCCAGTCATATCCCAATGTTGGTAATGTTTGTACCTCATAAAGCCAGTTAGCTAGCCTAACTGTGTAATTCCACTGTTTCTGGGACTGTTCAACTTCAGGAGTCATTCTCTGCTGCAGCTGAGATGATGTTATACCAGAAAAGTGACTCTGGTAATAATCTGACAGTTTATTCAGCTGGTCTTTAAGATATTTTGTCAAAGAATGAGTCCATTCTGCAACATAGATTTAAAGAAAAACAAGAGTTTTAATTGTGGATGAAATTCATCCAAATTGAAAAAAGTGAAAAGTGGAAAAACCACATTTTTTGTCAAATAAAAACAGTTATTAGAACAATATAGTACCTATTGAAGGGTCTCCCATGGAGCGCTTCTTTATTTTAGCCTCAGATATGACTGTATGGTAAGTTGACGTCATCTTGATAAACCAGGTAGCTCGTAGCATTGGAACAGCATTGTCACACAAGCTACTGAAAATCTCTTCTTTTTTGTTAAAGATAGGTACCTGTATGGTTAGAGGAGTTTGAACAAAACCTTTTTTATCCTGGATTTTGCATTTTCTTTGACATTCAAGTCTAAAATTATGCTAAAACAATTGCCCTATTTCACTATGACGACACATCAAAACAATCTATTGTTTAAACGCAAAGGATCATGGTCATCGGAGGGGGTCAAATCAACACAAATCCACCAAAAATTGTCCTAAAACCCGTATCAATCCACGAAGAGAAGTAGAATAGCCAGCAAACGCTCAGAATATTTTAAAGCACATATTAACACATATTATATCTGAAAACCAGGCCATTTCAGATTAAACTGTTTTGCTAGGAGCAAATTTTGTTGAATTTTCTATTGGATTTGGCGATTCTATCCCCCACATAAACAAGCAGTGACGTCATAGTGAAATAGGGCAATTATTCCCCTCAGGCTCAGAGACTATTGTGAATATTTACCAAGCTGTGATTCTTTAAGACAAGAGAGAAAAATATTCACTGAGTCTGAGGGGAATAATTGTTGAATACTAGAGATCTGCTGATCAGTTGTCCTGTTTTACCTTTTTGGCCAATGCTGTCAGGGGTTTATTACCAGCAAGATCTTGAAACCATAACTGTATAAGATTCCTTGATCTGGCAGTGACCTTCAGAATCAAATATATCAATTGATAACCAAATTAATAAACATGAGCTTAACTCAAAAAAATAACCATTTTTCTGCCCTCCTGTTCATTAATACAGTATGAAGAGAGAGAAGAGAGAGAAGCACAAGCCTTAGTCAAATATGTAATAGAAAATAGCCCCATGGGATACTCTATGGTATAGTCACTCAAAACCATTGTAGAACTAGGATTTATATATCATTATCCCTATTATAGCAAGTAGCTCCTGTAAGGTACTCCCAATAACTATCGTTCTGGAGTGTCGTTCTGGTCTCTGTCTCATACACATCATCACCCCTACACATTATATTGTATATGTTGCTACCCCCAACACCGCTCTACTGATATTTATCTTTATTGCCCACTACCACTACAGGGTCCATGAGACATAATTTGTTGTAAGGTGGGGGTAAGGCAATTCGGTGGGGGGGGGTTCTGAGGGAAGCCATCAACCCCTGAAAATTTTGAAATTGAAGCTCTTGGAAATGCGATTGCTGGTGCAATGATTTTGAGGGGCAATTGCAAGTCAAGTCAAAGCTTTAGGCAACTCAACGGAAAATCATTTTTGATTTTTGCCTAAGAATTTGGGAAATCTTGCCTCCCTGCGATTCTTGTACCTAACTTATTGCCTCCTTGCTCTAAACTCTTGGATAGAGCCAAAACATTTTTGCGCTAGGGATTCAGCGCAATAAATCTAAATCTTGAATTTATCATACTCAATTTCTACTCACATTCCAAAAGTTTTCTTTAGCTATGGAACATTTCTTCTTGTTTAAATCCTGTGCTGTATTGATCTTCTGTTTCTCGTGGGTTATGTTATTAAAGCTGAGTACAAACTGTAATGAAGGAACGGTAAATATCGAACGAGAAATACTTCGTAAACGTACGGTTCTTTGTTGTCATTGTTCTATTTGTGACCCCACGACATCAAATTGTCAAGACTTACCTTTGATATTGGGACGTTTGATACGATGTCTTTGGCAGATCCATACTTTGAACAAGCAGAAAATTCATATACAAGTGATTTTAGAATTTATAATCAACATAATATATATAAATCTATTCGCTAATAACATTAATTTACCTCATTCGAACTGAATAAAGGTTGATATGAGAATCCTTTCTTGACATTTTCTTCCGTTAGTTCGTCCTAAAAGAATCAAAAATCTTAGCAGATTATCACGGTTTTTAGTGAAACGGGGTTTTTTCTCTTACCTCTCGTTGTTTATAGTCTTGTGGATAGACGTCTGGAGGCCCTAACCTTGGTCTTTTTAGAGGACGTTGCCAATAAATGGCCGCCATGATGGATCGAAGGGCATCTGCGCCTACGAATCTTGCGCTCCGCGGTAAAACACTTTAAACTATTAAAATAAATAAATAAATAAATAAATAAATAAATAAATAAATAAATAAACAAAAGCACAAAGTGAAATATCCTGGGCAAAAAAGCTTTAATTTTTACTGCTTTATTGATAGTCTTTTTAGGCCTAAAGCAAGCGTTTATAAATTACAAAAATTTGGTATTAGGAAAATATTGGTATTTTGCAAATAAAAATAGTAATTACTGAAACAATGAAATTTTCCCATATTTTGTACTGTAGCTTCAGATATATTTTCATTTTGTTTTGATTTTCTTCTAAACTTGCATAATAAAGAAATGAAAAGAGCAAAACTAGGGAAAAACTGCACATGGGCCTCCTGTGGTGCGTGCGCACTTTGTACTTTGCTCTCAAACAAAATGGCGGCCGTCACAAACTCTTTACGAAGGCTGTATCTAAACGGCATTAGAAAGAACAGCAGATACGTATTGAGGGTAAATATGAAACCACATAAAAGTCTAATCACTATTCTAGATTTTTGAGTTAATTGAATTTGGATTTTTTGTCAGGCACTGGGCGCAAATGTCACTTCACAACATCAACAAAGACGAAATCTCTCCATTCACGAGTACCATAGCATGAAGATTCTCCAAGATGCTGGTATCCTCACACCAAAAGGAGGTGTCGCAAGGACTGCAGATCAAGCCTATGAGATTGCTTCCTTGCTAGGTCTGATAATGATAACCTTGTTTTGGATCTCAATATAAACAGTGAATGATGTTTAACGTATACTCTTCACACACGTTAGCCTACACGTCTTGTACAATTTGAAAATCAGTACTAAATTAATCAATATTGCCTTTTCTTTTTTGGAAACGAAACGGTATTCACAACACTCTAACATACGTAAAGTTATGTAAAGTAAGCTTAATTTTTTTGGGAAAGATAAAAAACAGCTGATATAACTCTTAAACATTTTGTTGCTGGTTTTGCTATGAATACCTAAACTGTAGTTCGGTTATTCAAATACACCATCCTTAGCTTTTCTAGTACTGTATATTCAGTATATTATTTTAATAATTAATCAACATGCAAAATGTTTGGTTTCCTCCCCCTGGTACTTGCAATAGATAATAGAACTGATGTTATTGTTATAAATACGGTTCCAGATGAGGCAGAGAATAGTGGAGACATGGTGGTAAAGGCCCAAGTATTGGCTGGAGGACGTGGTAAAGGAGAATTTGAAGGTGGCTTTAAGGGGGGCGTCAGGATTGTGTTCTCGTAAGTGTACAATATATTCATCACCATTTATCATCATCATATCACGTATCTAGGTTTTCAGGATATCTAAATCATTCATTGTCATTGACATTATGTATACAGCTCAAAAAAGGTTAGAGGGGTGAACAGTGATAGTTAGTAAGTGATTGGTGGTAAGAGATAGATAATGCATTTATAACGAGTCTTTCTCTCACTGTACGTTAAATAAAATTATCTATCCATCCATCTCTCCAAGATCCAAGAATAGTTATGAAACTGTTTTTTTTTATTATTATTCTTGTGATCAACACAGAGATTAATTATAGGTTAAGATATTTAGTGTTGTTTGTAGTCAACAAAACCTTTGAAAATACCTTGGTTTTGTTGTGTCAGACCTGAAGAGGCCAAGGAAGTTGCATCAAGAATGATTGGGAAAAAACTAATCACTAAGCAAACAGGAGAACAAGGACGAATTTGCAATGAAGTAAGAGAAAATGTTACCGCCATACATTATTATGCATATTTCTCATCATCTCTTTGATATGTGTTACCTTTGATCTGCTTCACCCATTGTACCCTTGCCAACCATAGAGTCTCCAGTAGCTCAGTGGTTAGAGCATCCGACTAGTATCTGGAGGGTCATGGGTTCGATTCCCGTCTGGGGCTCAGATTTTTCTGAGTCAGACGTTGTTCCAATCTTGTCTTCTTTCATATCCTCTTTGATCAGCTGAGAATAATATTCAACAAATTGTTGATATTATAGTAACTGATTTTTTCTTTCTTTTTGTCTTGATGTACAAAGTTTTCTCTATGCTAATTTATTAGTTCTAGTGTTATAATATGAAGAGTATTTTTGAAATACTCAATTATTATATAAAGGTTTCTTGATTATTTTTGTATCATCCCTCCTGTAAAGGTGTTTGTATGTGAGAGGCTGTATGCAAGAAGAGAATACTATTTTGCTTTGGCACTGGAAAGAAAGTTCATGGTAAATATTATCTATTAGTTAATTAATTATTTATAATTATTTATCTTATGTGTATTTATAAAAATAAAGTATTTTGTCAAGCTCATTCACAATATACATCTTGTGTTTTTTCTCATGGACCAAGTAAAATCATTCTACTACAGTATCAAAGATTATGTTGTCCATTGAATAAGATTTTGTTAAATATTAGTTACATACCAAGCAAACTATATGTACAATGAAGACCCATTTCTGTCTCTGTAGGGTGTGGTTCTAGTTGGAAGCCAACAAGGTGGTGTCGACATTGAGTCTGTTGCCAAGGAAACACCTGATGCAATCGTCAAACACCCTGTCGATATTATGACTGGTAATCATCTAATATCTATTCATTCACCTTTCATTCTTATGCTCATGCTTTTTATTCTGATTTTATTGAGTGAGTTAGGAATAGAGTGCTTTCCCTCAAGTGACAAGGCAGCCATATTAGTGCATCAAACAATGCAAGCATTCTGCACAGTTTTGCATAAAAATAGAGTTTAATTCCTGGAGGATAAAAAATCTATTGTTTTGGTACACCAACATGGCAACTGTTACGTCACGTGAAAACCCTTTGGCATACAGGCCAAAGCAGCATAACATTTTCATGGATTACTTTTTTTTGTTCACTAAAGGGCTGTCACTTGATGATGCTAAGGAATTTGCTAGGAAAATGGGTTTCTCCTCTAAATGTGTTGATCAAGCGGCACAATGGATGTTATGCCTGTATCAGATCTTTCTAGAGAGGGATGCCGTGCTACTGGAGATCAACCCAATGTCAGAAGACTTGCTTGGCAGAGGTATGTCATCATCATCATTATTATCATCCTCATCATAATACATTTAAGGAATATAAAATGCATGCATATGTCTCTGTACTGTATTATAAGCACCCTGGGAGTTGTAGAGCACAAGAGAAACAAGCTTTGGAACATGACAGTGTTTATATTACAGTACAGAGACCTGAGCAGCCATATTCTCATTTTTTTAGTGATATGCATGGACTGCAAGCTATTGTTTGATGATAATGCTGATTACAGGCAGCCAGAGATATTTGACCTGCGTGACTGGTCTCAAGAGGACCAACGAGAAGTACTTGCCGCCAAACACAACTTGAACTATATTGGTCTTGACGGCAGTATTGGGTGCTTGGGTGAGTATAGTAGGTCATAACTTGAAGACAACATTGACCTCACCCCCACCCCCAAGGTTCTCTTCACCCTTTTCACCAACAAGTAATAACGATAAACATGTGTTGTATGTTACAGTCAATGGTGCTGGTCTTGCCATGGCAACCATGGATATTATCAAGCTGCATGGTGGAGACCCTGCCAATTTCCTGGACGTTGGTGGTGGTGCCACTATTGAACAAGTACAAGCTGCTTTCAGGATTATAACTGAGGACAAAAAGGTATGTTGCACCAAGTACTGTATGATGGTATCCAATGTTTAGAGTAGAATTCATATGGCCTGTGAAATGGCACGCATAGCCTGTGAAGTGGCAGTTTGGAGAGGGGGGAAGGGAAGAGTGCTGCTGTGCTCGTTGTTGTATGTGAGTTGTTATTCTCACCTGTGCTTCGAGGGTTTTCCCGGTTCTCCGGCTTTCCTACCTCCGCAAAAATCAACTTCTAAATTCCAATTGGAATCCAGTGGAAGAAGAGCAACTCTGTGGAATCCACTGTTAATCTCATTATTAAAGAGTGCTGCTATGCAGGCTACGGCACACAGCATAATGCATAGTGCAGTAACTTCAAAAATGAAAAGTGATTTTGATCTTAGAAATTATTGTACATTCTTAAACGCATCCTGAATGAATGAATGAATGAAAACCTTTATTTAAACAGGGTGTTCCCTTCAGTAATAAAATTACTGCTATCAATGGGAGCCCTATTATTATTATATTATTATTATATTCCTAATATTGATGACTAGTAAGGAAACTTTCTCAAAATATATGTATAGAAGATTAAGTAATGATGAAAAGGTAAATTATACACTGTGAAAAGATGAAAAAACTTACTGCTCTTTTACTCCGACGAAGAACTAGCGTCCGAAACGTCAGTAAGTTTTTTCATCTTTTCACGGTGTATAATTTACCTTTTCATCATTACTGTTTCATTAGAAACACCGACGCAGCTCACACTAGTTTTTAGCTAGTTATATCTTTGTATAGAAGATTGATTGAATCACTTTTTCCAGGTTCATGCTATTCTTGTCAACATATTTGGAGGAATCATGAGGTGTGACATCATCGCTGAGGGAATCATTGCTGCCGCCAAGGAGTTACAACTATCAATACCTGTTGTTGTACGCTTACAAGGTGATATGCAATATTACATATGCTGATGGCGATGGCATTATAGATAGTGCTAATGATATATGATGACGATTATGGTGATGACGATGATGGTGATGGTGATGAGGATCATGGTGATAACAATGATAATGATAATAGTACTGATAATGTTGATGGATAAAGATGGTGATAAAAAATAATGGGAATTAACAGTGGATTCCACAGAGTGGCTCTTCTTCCACTGGTTAGAAGAGGATATTTGCAGAGTGAGGAAAACATCGGTGAGAGGCAAGCGGTCTCGTTGCTCTGTCATCTGTTCTTCCTTCCCTTGATGATGTTTTTGAAATTGATGATAATGATGGTGATGATGGTGTTGATAGCGATGGATAATTAGGATGCTGGTGCCAACTGACTAATGAACGACATATTTTTCCAGGAACACGGGTAGAAGATGCTAAAGCTCTGATTGCAGCCAGTGGTCTTCGTATTATTGCTTGTGATGACCTTGAAGACGCCGCTGAGATGGTAAGTAGCTTGTATCATAATATGTAATTTCAAATGCAAAGTCAGTCAACATAAGGATAGCCTGTTCTCAATGACGAAGGAGGAACGTGGGTGTGACCCTAACATGGTGTGATTGGCGTGTCTGGCGTGTCCCTATGTGGGTGTGACTGTGCCGTGACCCGGTATTTTTTCACTTTGGAGTATCTTGCTTCTTAGAAAAAATACTAATGTGTTCGTCTCTCTTTCTAAGGTCGTTCGAGTTTCCAACATCATTGAATTGGCGCGATCAGTGGATCTCAACGTCAAATTTGAACTCCCTATTTAAACAATATTAGTGTCATATAATGGGCTGTTTTATGCTTATTTTTATCCAAAATTTGTAAATTTTGCTGAAAGATGTGATTTGTCACCACTGACAAAGTTACTTGGCGATGTCATTGTGTTGTATGGAATATCTAATGAATATTAAAAATAAAGCTTTAATTTAAGATTTTAGATGTATTCTGTTTTTACTTCTCTAGTTCATTCTTTTCCTTTGCTTCTTCGTTCAGTCATCCGAATTTGCCTCCCTGTACTCCCCACAATACAGTGCGTCTATGCGCGCGCTTGCTCGCGTAATTTCTTGTCCATTGTTACGTCGCGCTCACTTGAAAGCCAGACTGAAATCAGTTTTTTATCATACGCTTTGGAATTTTTTCTCGCGTGAAGTTTTAAACGAATACTTTTAAAAGAAAACATTATTTACGACTATTTACTGGTGGATCATTAATATGTCACAGAAGGTAAGATGATACTTTGTTTTGTGTATCCTCTATGGTGCTAATTGCTAATTAGAAGGCGATAAGTTTTTCAATAATTGATCTCGGCAACAAAGATGCGTTGTTGGTCCATGCATGAGTATTTCTGCTGGGTTTGGCCCGAGGTGTGATTCGAGGTGTAGCATCCTAAGATAACCTTCCGATAGCTTCTTTTTTCGTGGATTCTCGGTCGCTTTCGAAAAACATCCTCAACAGTCGTTTTTAACATCTGTACAAAATGTTCAAAGTAAATAGTATTCTGCAGTGCACTATGAGCGAGTGAGTCGGACGAACTTGACGACTTTTGTTTTCAAGACCGCAAATGATATAATTCTTGATACATTGGCTGGAGCAATCGGTTTTTAATAATCGTTCTTTTCAAAGTATCTTTAGATCGTTTGGATATGTATTTCGTTAATTTACTTCTGGGGCGTGCAGGGTAGCATTGATAATCTACTCTGCTAAGACGTCCTTTTACTAAGTGAAAGAGGATTATGGATGTGTTTATAGAATTTTAGAATATAGCAAGTAGCTGGTACGTGTATGGAGGATACAAGTTTAAAAGGCCCCACAAGCTTACAGCTTTAAAGCCTACCGTGATCGTATGCCTCCTTGACGCGCATGTGCGCACATCTCACTATACGTTAGTTGTTTCCAATTTTTTTCTTTCTATTTCTTATGCTTTGATGAACGCTAAAAATGCGTCCTTAGGAAGTTTGTTTCAGGATAAGAAAATATGATCTGACATCAATTTCGATTTTTGCCTCAAGTATGGAATATTACTAAATATCCCACATGGAGTAGAGTGACCATGCATGTTTAGCGATCAGCGTCACAAACGAGATACCGGGTCTGCTGGTCATAGCAAGGGGTTAATCATCTACGGTCTAGGGGCCGATTAACCTCTCCCTTAGGCTTTTGCTGAGCTTCCTGATCAGTCTGTAATTCCTCCCGGGATAGCGGTGTTGGGGTCGAAATCTCCAGCGTAGCCGTAAGTCCATACGACGGTTCAGCACTCGATGTCTGGAAGTATGGTCCTGGTTATTTTAAATCAATAACCTAAAATCAATCTCTCTAAAAGCAATATACGTAAAAGATAACATTTTAAATAGATGACTTGGTAAAAAATAATAGGAATCTTAAGTGTGCATGCGCGTTTGCAGCTAAGACAAAAGTGCTACGAGGAACCACCATTTTTGTTTGTTTCCATTCGGTTATGGTAGGTTACAGCCTCGTATTTTTAAAAAGTTCGCCATATAATAGTTGTTAGTTTTTAAGGTTTCTCGGATAATTATTCAGTTATCTCTAAAGTTTCTTAATATCGGCGATCGGGTCCAAAATTACAGTACAAATTACAGTCGAAGCCGTTCGGAAAAACGGCGACACTTTCGGAATTTCCCGATATGCATTGCCTGTTTGCGCGCGCGCTCGCGGAACACTCCTCTATTGTTACGTCGCACTTGTAAGTCATTCTGAAAGCAGGTTTTTACAGTACGGCTTGTTTTTTTCGCTACGCGTGAAGTTTTACTAAAACGATCCTAAAGAAAACGTTAAAATTGACTAAATTTCTTCGATATCAATTTAACAATGCAAAAGGTAAGAAATTCAGTTTCTTTTGCGTGTTAATGGTGCTAATTGAAATGAGAAACGGTTTAATTATTACGCGACCTTTTTAAGTAATAGGGAAAGCGGCGTACGAATCCTATATATCATCTACACTTGGGTAGCTTTGACGGAAAAGATTTTTCTTTATATCTTCAGGACAATCTTGGTTCTTTTGCTGGTCAGCGCATTTTCTTCAACGAATTAGAGTATGCGCTTGAGACAACCACGCTGTTCGGAAAGACACCACAGCGCAGTTCACAGAGAAACACTGTAATCAGGGATTTCAACACCGTCCCACAATTTGTTCCAGTTGCGCAACCCGAGTGCTTCTTGGTGCCAGCGGAAGGTTCCTTTTACCCATCTGTTCATGGTGGAACACAGACGCTCATCTGCCCAATTACTAACCAAGCTCCAAGCAGACAACTCCCGCAAAGGCTCAACGTTTACCAACCTACGACTCAATTTTTGGCTCCAAGTACTTTCAGCCATGATCAAACTTACAACTGGAGCCTACCTGCCTGCAACTCCTCGTCTAGCACCCACACCAACCAGTATCAGCCACCCGAGTCTGTCGGGATTGTGGGTGCTTCTACCCATTCTCAGAGGATTGTTCAGGTTCCAAAAGCAACTCCAAAAGGGGTTTCTAACAGCTCACTCGTTCCTGGACCATGGAAGTCGTCATCGATGCCTGTTAAGCCTCCCAAAAGAACTTGGATCATTGAGAAGGACGTCTTTGCTCCAGGAGCAGGTAAACATGCAAATCATCTTAGTTTTCTTATGTAAAACTAGCACAACTGTCGCATTATGGTCAGTGCACACGATCTAGCGCACAGAACTGCGCTCAGAACGATGACAGTTTGTCGTAATAATGGATCTAAGGGAGGTATACGTATATATGGATGACCATAAACTCATTCTTTGCCAGGAATTCCTAAAAATATGGGAAAAAGTTTCTCTAAAAGGGTATAACTTGCTCGTTCTATGAGAAACGCCTCCAGAAGAGTTACTTCTGGGGCGACACTCATATTGAAATTAATTCTAGATCTGCGCGTTTGTCCAAATATGTCTCAAAATCTAAATTCCTTTCTCAATCGAGGTTATTTTCAGTATGATGTTTATCATTTGCCATAATACTACTTTCCTCTGTATACCCTGCGCACTTGAGGGAAAATGAATATAATAGAAATGATTATAGAAGCTTAGCTAGCTCGAGGATAAACATATTGGCATGTTTAATAATATGATTGTTGTGGGTATTTCAGAGCACCAGAGGATGGTTAATCTTCGTGATATCATGGGGCTTCCTCCACTCAACAAGAGCGCGACCAAGATAAAATATTCCATGCTTCCAAGATCCCACTCAAAGAAGACTTCCCTTCAACCTAAACATCGTATAGATCTTAGAAGTATTCTCGCTGAATCCGACACTCAAAACCATGCCAAGGTATCATCAAGTTCCGAGATCAGAAATAAGGGTTGTTCAACTAGCATGTTGAAGGTATCGGCTTCACCTACAAAGAAGGCGAAAATAGAGCACAAAGAGGTAAGGAGCATGCAAGACATTCATGATAGTAATAAGTGGACGAAGAAAGGATCCTTGAATCCTAGCACTTACACTAGATCAACACCAGCAATAGCGACATGCAGATCAATTAGACACGATGTTCTAAATTCCAATATTTATGCATTTGTTTAGGAGGAGTTAGACGTGGGAGCCATGTACGCGCTACTTGCAGAGTCAATAGATCTCCGAGCTGCTCTTGCTGGTGGAGAGATTCGCATCGAAGAGCAAAATACTAGCGTCAAGCCATCACCAGCACTACATCAAACATCAACAGCACGTGAATCGAACGAGGCAGTAAACCACGCCGATCGGCCCGTCCATTCAAAGCCTTCGTCAAGTGAGGTACCAGTTGATGCAGTCCAAAAGGAGAGCAAACAGGAGATGTCAAAGCCAAAAGAAGTAAGAATATGAAGAAATTACGGTAATAAAGCAGTTAGGAGAGTTTTAAGATTTAAAAAATGAACTTATTTGTTAATACATAAAAGGTCGTGACAATGCGCAATAATGAAAGGAAAAGATCTACCAGAAGTGACATTTATTCTCATTATTCTATTTCATTATCCCATTTCATTTTTTTCCATTCCCCCCTTTCACCAGCAAAAAGAAACGGTCAGCCTGGAAGAGATCTTCAGCTTAGACGTGTCCGAGACTCAAGCCCTGTTTGAAGACTCCTTCAAGGATGTTGACCTGGACAGCATGTGCGACACTTACCTCTGCCATGCAGAATCGCCTGTGGATGACAACTGTTTGAGAGAGATCCTAGATAGTGCCGATTTTGCTGAGCTGTTCGAGTCAACAACTGATGATGACGATGACACTACTACTGGTGGCACAATCACACCTATGGCTAACGAGAACCATCCTTCTGCGGCAACGAAGGGAAGTTTGTGTTCAGTGGGTGCCGACTTTGTTGAACTGATTGACTCAGACGATGATGACAACACCCAGGCCAATGTCAAGAGTCATCCCTCTACAACGTTGAGTATGCGTTCTGTTGGTAATGACTTTGTTGAACTGATTGACTCAGACGATGATGACAACACCCAGGCCAATGTCAGGAGTCATCCCTCTACAACGTTGAGTATGCGTTCTGTTGGTAATGACTTTGTTGAAGTGATTGACTCGGACGATGATGATAACACCACCACTAGCAACAGCAGTCATCCTTCTACAACGGAGGGGCGTTTAATCTCAGTTGGTGCTGACTTTAATGAGCTGATCGAGTCAAGTGATGATGAGACCACTTGTATCAGTACCAACCCGCTTACTGATACCATGATGGTGAATCCAGTTGACGAGCCTGAGGTAACTCTCAAACAACGCAGTTCAATGACCATTGAAGAACTGTTCCTATCCAACAAAGAACGTGTGATGGAGCAGGTAGCAACAAAACAACAAGAATGCCAACACGAATCCCTCGAGAGCGCTCTTCCATTGAAGGCAGTCTTGGAATCATTCGAGCAAACCAACAATGGTGGGCCTTTCCCAGAATACATCCCAGATATGTTCCTCTTTTCTGCCAAGAAACCTGATGTTGAGCTGAATGTGATAGGTCAAACAGTACCTGCCTACTTTGGTCAGCCATTTAGCGACGATATAAGTACCCCTCGACCGGCTGATGCGTGCCTGAAGCAGGCGGTAGGACATTACGACACAGTACCTGAAGGACCTCTTGACATGATGCGGGCAGATGATCGCGTCTACTCGGAAAAGGTGTACAAGGCCGATGGCTTCCAGTACGTGTTTGACGAGTTCAAAATACCTGGAAATAACGTCATCGTAGACCCAGCAACCTTGCAGACACCTAGACTACCAACACCTGGTAAATATCTTGAATTTGCAATATTTGATGATTGAATGTTTCAATGGGGTGGGTGAGAGTTTGGATAGAAAAAAAAAAAAAAAAAAAAAAAAAAAAAAAAAAAAAAAAGATTGAAAAATTCGTTTAAAAAAAATATGTATATATTCGTGTGTGCGGGGCCCTAATTTGATGACGTTATTTGGCGCTATTGGCGTCGCCCCATTCAGTCCCACGATCCATTGGTTCGTTACCAGTTCCTTCGCACACCACATCTATAAATTGCAGCATAATTTGTAATTAATTATGTTTTCTCGTTTTTTTAAGGTCGTAAGAGACCTCATAGTCATGACTTCAATTACATGTGCGACGACAGCCAATCAGCAAAGAAGCTCAAAGTTGATGCTGGTAGTTGGGTCGAGTGCTCAAACTCCAGCAAAGATTCTGTGAAGTCAAAAAAGCGTCGCTATAACAACAAAGCACGCAAACCAACAGGAGAGAAATGGCTTCCTGGAAACCACTAGATAGTACGAGGAGTGAGGGAATGGTTTGGGTTAGAATTAAGCTTGGAGTCTTAGAAAAAAAATAGTTAATTAGATATGAAATTACTCTTAATATGGGAAGCTCTGTAAGTACAAATAAGTTAATCCAGAAGCAAAAGGCTAGAGATTTGGTACTATCGCCTCTCGGCAGCCATGTTGGATTACAGGAGAGCTATTGATTTGTCATCCAATATGGCGGGCCTGAAAGTTAGGACAGGTAGTGCGTGTGGACTGACCCTGTCACGTGACAGAGTAGTTCATACACGTGCATCATAAGAAAGTTCCCGTATGAAAAGTGCACAATACAAAAAAAAACTTTTTTCTTTTTGAATTTTTTTTTTTCATTGGCTGACAGTTTCTCGCTTCCAGTTGGTTGGAAGTTTACACTGGAACTTTCTTTATTAAAAAAAATACTTAAAATAATGCATTCTCAAATATATTTTCAATTATTATCATTTTATCAATCACTTTTCATATCAATTGGCTTCGTTTTCCTTACAAATCAGAAAGGTGCACTTTGCTTTTGCATATTAGTACGATGAACACTTCTTCCAAGATTTCCTTGCCTTAGTGCGCATTAAAAGGTTGTCAAGACTCTCTTCACACTACAGAGCATCCCATTTATTATCTTAATGTCGTCTCCAAGCTTGTGGGAAGGGTTGTCAAAAAAGGGTTAAGCCTTTTTAGTTTATTATATCCTTGTAAATACTGTATATAATTAGCGCATAGTATTTTTGTTTTAATAAATAGTTTTCTCTTATATTCTTCGTGTTTCTTTAGCTTTTCCACAAAACTAATGAACAATAAAAAGGCGATTCTTTAGTGAATTATTTATAAACTTAAAGTTTCCCTCAACACAAACTTGGCAATTATCGCCGTCTTTAGAGACTATACATTGATTTCTTTGTCTTGTGTTATCAAACGAGTTTTTAAAACAGAATACCAAAGAAAAGGATTGGTTGATAGCAAACACACTGATACAGCTGTTGATACACAACTAAGTGAAAAATTTCTACCGTGCTACGAGCTGTGAAGAAAAGGTTTTATCTTGCCTGAAAGAAAGACAAACTCTGGTATTAAAGTCGAAACGAAAGGACAAACGAAAGGCCGAACTAAGTTAACTATAAGGTTGGTGTCGACAAAAATGAAATTGTTTGCTACTTGAGGGAACTCAAAGCTGAGCATGCGATCTTATTGGTAGTGAGCTTTTATCATTTAATTCCAAAACTCACAGGACCGAGGAAAATAATTACGATGAATGGAAAGAGCATGTTGAAGGTAGTAAAACTATGAAGTTTGAAGGAAGTTCAAAATTCGCGAAGATATCGAAATTTTGCTTGAAAACATTCGTTGGACGCATTCCTTTCCTCAAGAAGAGGTTTTCTTAAAAAATTCACACTTTTCAAAAATCATGTCTTTGCGAGTTTTCAACTTATTTTCTTCAAACTTCACAGTTTTACTGATTTCGACATGCTCCTGTCAGCTATGGTAATTATTCTTATGTTTTGCTAATTTAAGAATAATTGCTAATAAAAGCTCATTGCCTTAAGAAAAAGAAAGAAAGAAAGAAAAACAATTCGATATCCCTGATTTTATTTCAACAAGGTGGAAAACGAATTAGAATACGCATTACAAGTTATTCGTAAAACTACAGCTTGTTGAACGACGGAGATGAATCGAAAAGATGAACGAAGTTCACGTTTGACTGACAAGGAAGGACTGGACACCGGATCTTGCAGCAGCAGCGACGCCGAGTGGGACACCGATGTTGAGGACAACAACGACCTGGTATCGGATAATTTATCTATTGAACAGATATATCTAAGAATATGCGAAGAACTTGGTGTGCCTCCCATCACTAAAGTGACAAAACAAATGAAAACAGACGTGATTGATCTTAAACACTACGGTATCCTAGATAAGGGAGCCAAGGCACTTGCTATGGCTATGGGTAAGAACGTTACCGTGGCAACGCTTAATCTCCATGACAACGGGATAAATAAAGCAGGGGCAATTGAGATCGCTAAGATGCTTGAGACAAATTGTTTTATAGTGAAATTAGATTTATCGAGCAACAAAATCGGGCAGGAAGGAGTAGCTGCACTCGCGAAAATGCTACGTAGGAATGTGACTTTGAGGGATTTGAATCTTTCAAACAACAAGCTCCTGGATGAAGATATTGCTCTTCTCTGTGACGTGCTGAGTACACATCGCTACCTCAGATGTCTGCGGTTGAGCGGTAATGAACTTGGCGACAAGGCAAGTACTATGATTGGATTAGCTTTAAGATCCAATCAAGTGCTTGAATGTCTTGATGTGAGTTGGAATAGAATCCTCGTCAAAGGCGCAGTGTCGCTGGTTAAGGCTTGCAAAGAAATGCAGTCTTTAAAAGAGTTGAATCTTAGTTGGAATGGGTTGTCAGATAAAGGTGCGAAAGTAATCCGAGAGATCCTTGAAAAACCTGACTGCTCCCTCAAAGTACTTGATATCACAAGCATTTCCATAGGAACCACAGGAGCGGAACATATAGCCAAGGGGCTCAGAAAGAACACATCACTGAAGACCCTACGCGTTGGTAAGAATCCCTTCATGAGCACCGGCGCTTTCTCGATCTTCAAGGGACTTCTGAAAAACCCACAAAATAGCTTGGAAGAGCTTTTCTTAGAGAACGTCGTCTTCGATAAAGAGTGCGAGGACGCTCTAGACGAGCTACTCAAAACAAAGCCAAACTTCTTATGCAAGTGGGATGTGATTATCAAAGGCGGAGATACACGCGCTTTAGATGAAACAGAGACAACACCACTAGAAAAGTTCATCCAGTTCATGCGAACTAGAGGGTTAAGAATGGTAGACATGTACCGTTCCTTGGCTAGAGGCGACGTACTGACAGAAGATAAATTTGTCCGAGGACTGAAGTCATTCAACGTACCAATGACAGATAAAGAATTAAAACAGTTGTTCAACATACTTGACTTGAACGGAGATAATGAGATGAGCTTCAGGGAATTTTCGTCGATTTTGAATTTTAAAATTAGGGAGAGGGACGCAGACGAGAGAATAAAATTAATGCTGGAGAGAAAAATATCTAACATTTGATTAAAAATCGTTCTTCGTTGTGCTTCGAGGGTTTTTCTCCGGGATCTCCGGTTTCCTCCCTCAGTGTTGTATATGAGTAGAGTTGTTTGTTGGTTCTCTCCTGTGCTTCGAGGGTTTTTCTCCGGGATCTCTGGTTTCCCTCCCTCCACAAAATTCAACTCCTAGATTCCAATTGGATCACGGAACAAGGGCCACAGGTTTGTTAGCCAATGCTTATTAAGTGTTGCCCCCAAAACTCCCAAAATAAAAACTATTATTAATAATATTATAGATGAATTAATTTATTGCTAAAATACGTTAGTGTGATTTACAATTCCTCATTGTCAATTATCACTTTTTCAATCCTTCTAGATTCAAAGGAATCTAAAACCAAAATGTTTTATAACACATGCAATTCAAAAAATATTCTACTTTCTTGCTCTATATGAATGTGTTTGCACCGTCCTCTCTCGTTAAAGTAAATAAAATGGGCTTTTGTTAACTAGATGATGAAGGAAAAAAACCCGAATAAATGACTTATATTAAGGTAATCTTTTGTTAACTAGAAGATGATGGGGAAAGAAACTGAATAAATGACTTGTACCAAGGTAAATTGTGACGGGGAAAAAACACACTAAATGTATTGTACCCATGCCAATCTCGTTTGTTAATATTAGGGGATGATTTAGTAAAAGAACTTCTTAACACAGATTTGTGACGACCAGTCTTCCCTCTTCTATCACACACGGAAAAAAGACTAGGGATGAGTCACAAACACACAACCTTCATGTTCAACTTTGTTGTACTTAGCTAACAATATTTTATCCTTAGCTAATGTTCAATATTTTAAAAATTATTTTACTATTTGAAATATTTTGGTTCTTTTTACCGTAATTATTTTTTTCTTGGTGAGTTGAGATTTTATTCTTTTTCTTCGGTTTCCTTTATCTCGACCAATATGGTTCCCTCGGCCACGTTATTTCCTTGTTTGCAGTTCACCTTGACAACCTAAAAAATATCAAACAATCAGAGAATCAATTCACCGACCGACCAACCGAACGACCGATCGACCAACCAATCAATCAAGCAATCACTCGACTGACCAATTAATCAATCGAACGACTGACCGACCGATCAATCAATCAACTCGACTGGCCAATTAATCAACTGACCGACCAACCAACTGACCAATCAATCAATCAATGAACAAATGAATCAATAAATAATAAACTAGAAAGTACCTTGCCAGTTATCTGTGCTGTCAAACTGTTTTGCATTTTCATGGCTTCCACCACAACCAGTTCTTGTCCTTCATGAACGAGGTCACCCACCTCAATTGCCACAGACACTACCTTACCAGGCATAGGGGACTTGAGATATGGACTCATGTCTTCCTATAAGAATACATTCAAGGTCTCTTTAAAGTCATGTTAGCAGGGTCTTAGAAAATATGTGCAAATTATATGGAATAAATAAAAAAAATTTAGCCAGTGTAGAGGGTATAGCAAATGGGAAAGGAAGGATAGAACGAATGGAGGGAGAGTTCAATTGATTGAAAATTATTGAAGGATGGAAGGGGAAGGAAAAAGAGTAAAAGGATGAGGGAGGAAAAAGGAAAGAAAAGATAAAGGAAAAAAGAATGAGTGAATCAACAAAAAAGAAAGAAAGAAAGGAGAGAAGGAAGAAAGTTCTATTCTTACATCAGCTTTTTCAGGCATGTATTTCTTCATTTCATCTTCTGCCTTGGTATGAACACGAAGTTTGTACTATGACAAAAAATTTTAAAAAATCTTATCAACTTTACATCAACAAATACAACTACGAATAAATGAATCAATGACCAAAATCAAAAATATACCACGACTTACGATTGTCCCACAATGTTGGATTCTGTACAGATTACCATGTTTTGAAATAGTCTAAAATGACAAAACAATATAAAGATAAGTTATTATAATATTATTATATCATTACTGCAAGAAATGATTACAAAGTAAAGTATAAGTAATGTTTACAATATGAGCAGCCGTGTTGTATTGGCTATGTAATTATGAACCGAGGCTAGTGATTGTATGGCCAATACAACATGGCTGCTCATATTGTAAACAACTTGTGAAGTTCCATGAATAATTCACAAATCCTTTGGGACATTTTAAATTCATATGCTAATTAGATACAACCACTTGTACTTTCTCAGAAATGTATACATCCACTAGTGGGTGTATCTAATAAGCATTTTCATTGTAAGGTTTGTATCTGGTTTACATGTCATTCATGTGACCTGATCATGATTTCTGAAATTGGATTGGCTTTTACTTTCAATGCAGAAAATGTTACACAATAGAAAGACGGCTGACCTGGTATAAGATGTCGTCATTATTAACAAGAGCATGGAAGACTGGCGCTGAGAGTGGAGTGGTAGGCTTGAATGTGATGGTTTTATCATCAGCCACCATCTAATAACATAACAAAACAACGATCGTTTACAGAGTAGCAGTACTATATTATCCTGATAGTTATGGAATGGCACATACAGGGAGCTCACATAGTGCCATGTACATTAACCTGTATTAGGTCTCTTTAGGTCTCTATATCTAGGGTAACTACATACCTCATAAGCACCATCACCAACATAGTTAACCTGTATTGGATAGGTCTCTTTATCTAGGGTAACTACATACCTCATAAGCACCATCACCAACATAGTTAACCTGTATTGGATAGGTCTCTTTATCTAGGGTAACTACGAGATCCCACTGCACCTGCTCTTTAGCCACTGCATTAACCCTGGAAAACAAACAATGACATACAGTATAAGTAGAGATAACATAAGGATATTGTGTAATAAATCGGGGTCAGTAGCAGAGCTTTATGGTGTAATTTTTGGTTAATCTGAACTCAAAATTTGTCATTTTGGTTGTCATCGAGCAGGCAAGCAGGATTTTTAAAAGTTGAGCACAGTTTCATCAAGAATCAGCACCAGGAAAAAGTGAGTTTGTTGTTTGCTTATCACCACCAAGTATTCAGAGAAAGCTCAATTATACACAGTTATACACACCCTCGCGTCAGGCATAAATGTTTCCCATTTCAGATCACGTGTCATTCCCTAAAGTATCATTTCTTTGTTTCACGGTTGCGTTTGATTGCACATGAGAAGACACATGAATATGGATTATTACAACTCAAACAAAGAATCTTATTCTCAAGGGAATGACACGTGGCCTGAAATGGAAAAACATTACACAAGATGCACAATGTTGAACATAAAACTTGACTACGGCTTCATTTGTTCTTTACCTTGTCTGATTGAGGAACATTTTGGCTTTCCTTGCTCGTTGAACAAACATGTAAGCAGCCTTGGCTAGCAATTGCTCCCGCTCAATTTCAGTCAGAATATGCCCTGAAATAAACAAGAAAAAACATTTGTTTTGATTTATTTATGTTGAATAAATGGGACCTTTATAGAGCAAGACCAGCAAGGATCTCTTGGAAATTTTATACCACAAATATTTTACATTTATAAAAAGTAATTAATATTCACTCACCTTTGAAGCCTTTGGGGTACTCTCTGGGGAGGAATTTTGTATTGAAATCACCTTCGACGAACTTGGGATGGTTTAACACGTCCTTGAGTAACGATACATTGTGTTTCAGCCCTGAAAACAAACAAAAGTCAACTATGTGCATCATGGTAATGATGACAATGGTGATGATGATGGTGGTGGTGGTGGTAATGGTGGTGGTTGTGATGGTAGAGGTGGAGACAGGTGAAGATAGAGATGATATAGCTGTTGACAATGAAAATGAAGATGAAGGGGTTGGTGGTGGTGGAGACAGGCGAAGATGGAGATGATGATAACACTAACAATAATGATGATGATGACTGCAATAACTTTAATGACACTTAAGACGATAATTCCATTAGTAACAGCCACTCCCCCTCTATCCAGAATCCGCCCATGGACCTTGCATGTTCAAACCTTTTAAAACTTTGATGATTGAATCAAGCCAAATACCGACCCACTTACCTCGAATGACATATGAATCCAGAGCTGTGTTCATGATAGCCCTGGCTTCTTCTCGTGTGTTACCATATGTTACTAACTATAAAGAAAATTTTTGTTACGTTTGTTACAAACAGGGGACAATGACTTTCTTGTTATATTTGACTTCTCAAGCCCCTAGTCAGGGCAGATCTGAATGGGCTCTTTATAAATAGTCATAATTATTAATTATTTATTAATTAATTAATGATAAGCTTTGCGTACCTTGGATATCATGGAATCATAGTAGATACTGATCTCACTGCCTTCAATAATACCACTGTCACATCGTACCTGGTTAATTAATTAAATACATCAGATAAGTTCATATAACATTGTCCTTTTAGTGAGAGAAAACATTACTCACATTTTCGAGGTGTGTAGGCTCGATGTACTTGTACAGTCTGCCGATGGATGGAAGTCCAAAGTTCTTGGTTGGATCCTACAAATTGAGAGGCGTATAAAAACAATGCATGAGCAAAATGAGGAATAAAAGCTGTCAAAGCATTGCAAGTAATGTCAGTGCATTGAGTTTATTTTTACATTCACACATTAATCACTCTTAGTTATGTCTGGTTCCTGAATTACTTGTGCTACAAGGATTTTATAGTATTTAGGATCTGTCATTCCCCCCCTACCCCCCCACCCCTCCAATTTCCACTGGCCCTTCTAGTGGTTGCTACTTTCTTGCCTTCGCATGACCTCGACTCCTTTGATATGTGTTATGTATAGTGTATAGCTGATTCCCCTCTAATTGTTTAAAAACCAGCAAGGTAATTCTCCCAAAATCGTCTGACCCACTCAGGCAATAAATGATCTGTCCCTAATAGAAATAGCATTGAATTAAACCTTGAAGATATAATCCAGTAAAACATACCTCAGCATAAACACGACATTCAAAGGCCCAGCCCTTCAGTGGTATTTCAGACTGTTTCAGTTCCAGAGGATGACCTAGTGCACACGAGAGAAAATAGAATAAGTTAAAACAGTGTTTATGGATATCATCAAAATCTTGCTCAGAGTAAATTGTAACATGTTTGGTGTGCTTCAATTTCCGACTAGTTTGTCCATACAAAAAATATTAGATTAGTAGAGTATAAGTTGGGACAACATAGTGTGGCTTAGTGGTTCTTCACCTTGCTTAGAGCAGTTTTCATATGACTGTAAAATGCTTCCAGCACAAACATGGCAGCAATACGGCAAGGCACATGCCTGTCCAATCACACTGTGTGAGATTTTACTCTCCATCCAATCAAATGCCCAAAACATGACACAAACACAATGCAGACAAGGTTACGTCATTGTCAGACCAATCGCATTTCATGAGTATACTATCAGCCAATTAACTATGCCAGACAGGAACAGTTAGTTAAGATTACTACCTGCAGCGACTCTGATCATTTGTTCTACCAGATCAACACCCGTTGTCATCTCTGTGATTGGATGTTCCACTTGCAGTCGGGTGTTCATTTCCAGGAAATAAAAGTTTTTCTTGGAATCAACCATGCACTCTACTGTGCCTGCCGAGTCGTAACCTACTGCTTTAGCTAAAGCAACAGCCTGTTCGCCCATAGCTCTACGCAAATCTGGGTCTACAAATGAACTAGAAGACAGGCTTTGGATTAAAACTGATACAAATTTGCCTTATCACTTGTTTCTCTCCACATAGTACATGATGGTAGAAAATGAATGTAAAAGAGAAGGCAGAAAAGGAAAGAAAAGGAAAGAAAAGGAGAGAAAAGGAAAGTAATGAAAGGAAGAAAGGGAAATAATAGGATACTGATTTTCAATGACTATTTAATGATTAAATAGAAAAATTAAAAATACCTTGGTGCTTCTTCAATCACTTTTTGATTTCTTCTTTGGATTGAACATTCTCTTTCATTAAGATAAACCTGATGAATCACAGATAAATGGATTAAACAAAGTTACAGAAATCTAAAAACAATCATATCAAAGAGAAAAAATGAATGACTGGAAGTGGTTTGGAATACTTACAGCATTACCATGCTTGTCTCCAAGAACCTGTTGAAAACAAACACACAATCTTAGTCTCAAAACAAAAGGACATATCAGACAATGAAAATACTCCAGTTTTGAGTTCTCCTTCCTCAGTCTTAGTCTCATTTGTGCGTTATTCAGCTATTCAACCAATACCAGTGGCATTTTAATCAACTTTAATTGTTCCATAGTATGTAAATTCCTTACTGTAGACCCCTTGCAGCATTTTGGAATGCGGATCAAATCTGTGGGACAAAACAATAGGTTCCAATTGTCAGGAGATTGGAATTCTTTTGTTTTGTCCCCTAGATTGAGCTGCTTTGACGTCACATGCAAAGGTTCTATACCATAATAAAAGAATAGAACACATTTGTACACAATCGAGGCTAAGACTGAGCAAAGGTGAACTCAAAATGGGAGTATTACAGATATTTTATGTATTCATTGATAAAGTCTTAGAGTATGTCTTTACCTGGATCTCAATATGCCTTGGTTCATCTATAAACTTTTCTATGAGAAGTCTATCATCTCCAAAGCTGGACATAGCCTCTTGAGATGACAACTTGAAGCCTTCCCTTTAAAGAAAAACCATGACAAGATGAGGAGATACTAGTGTACAATCAATATCCTCAATACCTAACTGTATGGAGGTAAGAAAGAGAAAAAAGTAGAAGAGAAGAAGAGAGCAGAAGAGAGAAGGTAATGGAAAGAAAGGGTTAAAGAATAGGAAGGAAAATAAAGCAAAAGAAAACTGAAAACTTTAGGAAAGAGAGAAAAGGGAGTGGAAGGAAAGTCAAGGGTAGGGAAGAGAAAGGAATAAAAGTGAAGAAAAGGAAAGAAATGGAAAGAAAAGGGATGGGAAAAGGAAGGAAGGGTCATTATTATCTCTCTGGATACTAATAATTATGATTAATATGAATCAATCTTGTACTTTGTCTCTGTATCATTCCAGGCAATTCTCATGCCTTTTCCTCCTCCACCAGCAGATGCTTTCAGCATCACAGGATAACCTATGGAAGTAATTATAAAATACTATTTGTATCAATGGGAACAAATAAAATCTCAGTAGAGTATAGTAGCATCATTAGCTCAGTGGTTGAAAAGACTAAAAGTTAGTTTACCTATTTCATTTGCAATCTTGACTGCATCATCCTGGTTCTAAAAATGTAAAAAAAAATCTTTTAGAAACACATTTATTTTTAACGCCTTAACAATGAACTTGATATATAGGGGACACTAGAGGTGGTGTGTTTTAAACAGATTCCCATTCACCTGCAAAAACCCCTAAGACTGATATATGGGGGACACTAGAGGTGGTGTGTGCTGATAATATGCCACCCTCCCACCATTGTGTTCTATGTGAGTATCCTGTGTGGTACCTTCGTTTTAAACAGATTCCCATTCACCTGTAAAACTCCTAAAGACTAATACCAATTTGTCAAACCATTTGTCACAATTTAAAGTGCCTATCAAGCACACAAGATCTCTTCCTGATTTAAAAGCCCTTACAAAATAAATATGAATGGCCTTTACTTTTTTATATCTCTTTTCATTGCCGAAATATTTGATATATAAATCATGAAATGATGATGTCAACATGCAATGCAGGATCTTGTAAAAAGTTAAAGTCAAAGAGAGAATTTTTCTGTGAGAATTTGCTCAAAATGACTGACACTTTTGGTGGTTATAGCATATGTTGTAAAGCACTTGAGTTATAAATGGTGATATTCTGGCAAAATTACGATACCTTGACTACACCATCATATCCTGGAATAGTGTTGACACCAGCCTTTTTGCCGATGATTTTACTCTCTATCTTGTCACCCATGCACTTCATGGCATACGTACAGGGACCAATGAATGTCACTCCTATCTTGTCCTGGTCAAAGTAAGCCCAATCACGGTCAATACACCTTAATTTTTAACTATGTTATTTTTTGTGTAGATTTTAGGCCATGTGATGCCACTTTTGGGAGTTGATTCTTTCATGTGTAAATATTTTAACATGTTCGTCATAAAAGATCAATTCTCAAGGGAATGTCATGTGATCTGAAATGGGCAATTTACATATGAAGATAAGATGAAAGTAAAAGATAATAGTTTTTATGGTCTGCAATTCAAAGTTATTTGAGCTTACCAGTTTTTCAACAAATCTAAAATTCTCAGAAAGAAATCCATATCCTGGGTGAACCTGAAAATAAAGAGAAAATGTTAAACAAGAAACAAGAAAACAATACATAAATATTAAAAGATCAAACAAAGAAAAGAATGTGTATAATTAAAAAAAGAAAAGAAAAGGAAGGAAGGAAGAAAGGAAGGAAAATTCATAATGGAATAATGAAGGAAGGAATTCAAAGGGGGGAAGCAAGAAGAGTGGAATTAAGGAAAAGAGAGAGGAAAAGAAAGAAGAAGCATGCATACAATTCTTTCATAAATATGAAAAGTAAAATAAATAATTTCAAATGAGATGAAACATACAGCTTGGGCTCCAGTTATCTGTATAGCATCCAGGATTGCATCCATGTTGAGGTAGCTCTGGTTTGTTGGAGGTGGCCCAACACACACACCTTCATCAGCAGTTTTCACATGGAGCTAAGAAAAATCAGTGCATGATCACTGGCATTGCATTCATCATTTTCTATCAGATATTCAACGTTTTGACACTTACCTATGCCTGTAATGAATTCAAAACTATAATAGTATAGAACTATGGTATATTATTACTTACAGCATCTGCATCAGCTTCACTGTATACAGCAACAGTTTTAATGCCAAGACGCTTGCATGTTTTCATTACCTGTTAAGATACATCATGTATTGTTAGTTAGCATCAATAGTTATTTCCTATAACAATGAAATTGTAGAGTACCCAATTTATCTTGCAAATTTAAAATGGCTGTCTTATAATAGAGAATTAAATATGTCATCAATAATAAAAACAAATGCAATCATACATACTCTGCAAGCAATCTCTCCTCTGTTGGCAATAAGAATTTTATCAAAGTACTGTAGAAACAAATGCAGAAGTTGTTAAGCTAATAGATCAGGGTGGTGCTCCTTGGAATGTGAAAATAATCTACCTAGATCTTTACAGTGTGACCACTACAACAGTGGCCACCTAGACAGTGAGAACCAATCAAATTGTAGAATGAATTCAAAAACAGTGCCAAGACAATCTGAAACCTAGACTGCATGAAAATGGTAATTTGACCCTGATATTACGTGTAAGAAGCTAAATAGCCATCATCATTTTCTCGTGGGAATATGTTGAAAGTTTATTGTTTTCTGCTGGTTTTTGATTGGCTCCACTATCAAAGTTGGAATATATTGCATTCATTCTTTCTTTATGTATTCCTTTTACAATAATATTTATTTTATTGGTTCCCACCGTATAGGCTGTATAGGTGGCCCTGGTTGTAGTAGTCATACTGTAAAGCATTGTCAGCTATAAAAAACTATGAAAGTGTTTTACCTTTTCATTAGAGATAGGTGATGTGTGTAGGTAGCTGTACCTTCCACTACTTCCCCTCCATAACGATGCCTGAAAATATCAAAGAACAGTATCTAAAGCACTTTCCATGTTTGTGACAGACAATCAAAATATCTTTACTCAGTCTAGTAATTTGGTATAGTGCAAGCCATTTATCCATGAAACAGTACTAACCAATTAGTACCAAAATAATAGCACCAGTGAACAATTAAAAACAAAATAAATAGATGTGTTTAGTGGCTATTTAGTTTTTGTGCTATTTCATGAATATGTGGTTTGAACTCTATCAATTTATAACAGTACAAAAAAGTCATTTTTCTCTGGGAAACTGAATTCTTTTTTATGTAAATGAGATTAGACCAGATTCAATAGACCATTTTCTCATCCTAATTTAAGGAAATTGACAGGCCACAATACCAGAACACGAGTATTATCATGCATTGCTATGAATTTTTTTACGATAAGAATTCATAAAATCCATGATTCTCCTCTTCTCAATTTTACTGAACTTTTCAATCATGGCCCGTAAAGTAGGACGCAACCTTGATGAAAAGGTCCATTGTTCCTGCCTCAGGTCATGGCTGCCATCAAGTGATGGTGCAAAGCCTCTATAGCATGTTTTCAAGGGAAAAAAGAATGAATAGGATTCCCTCCTAATTTGGGATTTATCAGATGTTTGTAAACTTGGAATTTCAAAGTTGCAGTCTTGATGTACCAGGAGCATGGAGGAAAAGAAATATAGAAAATGGGCAAGAGCCTTGCAGAATGGTATTGCATAAGTGGAATAGCATCCCCTTACTCTCCACTTTAACAAATTAAAACCTCTTATCTATTTATACACGTATTTTTAGCATCTAAATTCGTAAAAATACATAAAATGTCTAAACTACAAAATATATCCCCCAACCCCAACAAGTATAAGTGAAAAGAAAAATTCAAAGTCAAAAATAAATTAATAGCAATGAATAATTTATTGTTGAAATAATATTTTCACGTGTTCGACTCTTGAGCACATCTGTTTGTATACATCTATTGGAGTATTTATATAACAAGGTAGTCATAAAGCAATACCCCCTATAAAACAAAGAGCCAACCTTAGGTCTTTGTAATGATAATTGTCTGGTAAACTTGCTAAATGTCAAGATTTGTACAATTACAATGACAGCGAAAATGAATATTGCGGCATCCGATTCATCAAAAAATAAAAATTACAACTCCACGTTGTTGAAAATTATATTTTATTTCACATAAAAGCCACAGTTTCTTATGAGGCTGTTATGCTTTAAGATTTCTTAGGAATAAATTGAAGAATAAAGTGAAGGAAAGGTCATTTTTTAAAATGAGAACGTGCTGGATGTCATGAACCATTTACGAGAATTTATTCGAATATAGTTTTTAATAACTCCCAGATGTGTGCATCAGCAGCCACAAAAAAATACACCAAACATCCCCTTATATCAACCACAATTATCAAGAGGAATCCTTATGCATCAGAGAACCGTGCGATATAGCGCATAAAGAGACTCACCTTGTGGTTTTTGCATGTTTGGCGTAAAAAGGACGAGAGTCCAAACCTGAAGCTTTTGGTCGCCATTTGGAATCCTCCTTGAGACGATGAGCCCGCGACTACCCACTCCGCGGTATACCACATGTACGCAGAGAGGCTGGGAACTACAGTCAAAACGTGCTTGATCGAAAGTCATTACGTTTTGAATTTGTCTTCAAAAATTAGTTAATTTTGAGCCGAATTCTGAAAAACCAGGTGAGTGTTAGGTGTTATCATGTAGCTATGTATATGTTTTATCAGTGGGAGAAAAATTTCGCCGATTTGACTTTAGGATCGCGCAGGATCTTCGTAATTATGTCACTGTACTGAGAAGTTGCTTCAAAGTTTTTTATTTGTTTGTTTGTCTTTTCTTATCGTTTATTGCAGTATGATTATCCCTATTCGATGCTTTACTTGTGGCAAGGTTGTGGGTAACAAGTGGGAAGCCTACCTTGGTTTATTACAAGCTGAATATACAGAGGGGTAAGGTTTATAGATTCATAAATCACCTGTCAAATGATTGTTGAAAATGTTAATGAATGATCTGTAGTGAGCAAAAAGAGCTCTTAGATATTATCCACCTTAGTTGATTAATGTCACAGAATGTTGTCATTCGGTGGCTAAGTAAATAATCTAAGTGTTACCCAGCACTCTGTTGAATGTTAAACTTAAGTATAGAGGATTTGCACCGTCACATGAAGGCAGCCATGTTAGATGGCAGGAACAATACAATCGTTTTTCATGAGAAAAGATTCCATTCCCGAAGGCAACGGGATTTTATTGTTCTGCCGTCTAACCACAGGCAGTCCAAGCTGTATTATGGGTGCTGGCGCGTGATTGGAGCAAAACCTCTATTGTTGCAGAGTGGAGGGGGGGGGGGGGGGGGGGGGGGGGGGGGTGGGGGAGATCGAGGGGTTAACTGGCCTTTTCCAAAAGAACATTTCAAATTCCTGATTTGAGCCTATACATATCATACAGTGAAGTCCTGTTATTTTGAACATCCTATATGCCAGGGAAATTGTTTGAACAATGGGGATTTGAGATATCCTGCAGGGTAAGATTATTAGAAGTGCTATGCTGAAGTAAGTTCACAGAGTATGTTCCTTATGTTCAAAATAACGGGAATTTTTAGATATTAAGGGCTTGATAATGGGACTCCACTGTAAATATGGTGGGAATCCTTTGTACTTTTGCAGGATATTCCCCCCCCCCCCCCCAAACTAAGGTAACTCCATCATCTAAGTATTTTCTAATGATATAAAGTGATGTTCAATTCATAAAAAGCAAACCTTTGTTTTGGTTTGTTTGTTTTCAGTGATGCTCTGGATGCTTTGGGTCTTAAGAGATACTGCTGTAGACGCATGTTACTGTCCCACGTTGATCTCATTGAAAAGCTTCTCAATTATGCACCACTTGAAAAATAGGCATTGGAATCCCAGGATATATACTCACCATTATTCATAATAACCAGGACTGTGTTGAGATAGAGAATGTACATGTATTATACCGCAACTCAAAAGTTATATTTCCTCATGGTTTTAAAGTGAAGAGACACAGACAAAGGCATTTTAGTATCTAATTTTATTTAAACATGCTTTCTTACATATAAATGCTTATAGTTTCTTTTGCTTGAAATACTCCAGTCTCTCAACATTCTCTGTTGCTCATAGTTAGCCTTGATTTTGTGTAAAATACTCATGATACAGTGTTCAATGTCATATTAGTCTCCCACACAGCAACGCTTTCTCCAGGGAGAAAGCATTGCATGATGACACTGAAAACGGCTGTGTGGGAGACTATGTTATATGGAATTTCAAAGTGTCTGTTTTGTTGAAATTTTGCTTTGAAATTTTACTTTGCAATTGGTATTTGAAATGAGAAAATGAGACTAACCCTGATTCAAGGTGTCTTTAATGGTATTTACAGATTAGAAAACGTTCCCAGACCCAGACAACTAGCCACCCATCTCTTTTTCATCATTAAAGAATATAAGAAGAATGTATAAAAACTCTCAGTGATCACTCTTAATACCCACACCTCATTTACCGCCGTTTGCATTTGCACCCCAGACAAAAATCGCGACGTGCACTTTGCAATAGCCTGCAGTCAATCAAACACTTTGACGTCATTTACACACGTGTGTGATTCAAAAGGCGCCAAAACTTGTCGATTGTTTACAAGTATTATGAGCCACACTCACCGGGCCTATCCAAACGCGTGTAAATGACGTCAACCTGTTTGATTGACGGCAGTCTATTGCAAAGTGCACGTCGCGATTTTTGTCTGGGGTGACCGCGTAGCAATGCAAATGGCGGTAACCCATTTCTTGTGATTTCAAGCTGCAGTTCATAACGTATATATTTATAGACACCTTTGACTATATACAAATACAAAAGGTGTTACAACCTGAGTACATCTACTCTAAAAGACACTTATACTGTAAATGTTTTTTGTATCGTAAATAGTCGCTTATTTTTGAGGAAGGCAATAAAATGTATCAAACAATTAACGCTAGCGATTAAACGGCATCGATCAGTTACAACAGACAAAAAAGTGATTGCTTAGTTTTCCAGAGTGATGAAGAATAATCAGATAGTATAGGAGATAGCTAACAAGTGTGTGGTGGTACACAATCTTGTTACATGATAAAAAAAGGCACAGTGCATCGCAATTGCACCAGTTGAGTACGTATGTTCCACTGGGCAACGTTTTGAAATTGTTGCCCGATCCTCATGAAAAGTAGGACTTGATTCCACTTTTTTGAAACATTGCCGCAAGTAACATGCTGCAAGTAACATTGCGGCCTAGTGTACCATGTTTACTCTAGCTTAATAGTGTACCATATTTACTCTAGCTTAATAGTGTACCATATTTACTCTAGCTTAATCGTGTGATAGCGGTAATTGATCGTATCCACGACCTCATTGGGGATAGATACGTACAAATACGAAGTCTCATTTTTAAGCTCACAACTTTGTGTCCCACTCATTTTCCAACTCTATAGCTTGTTCAGTAGACATTCCCTTGTTTATCACTCCTATGGTTTTGCTCTCGTCAGTGCCTTGGAGATGGGATGACCGAGTAACCGTCTGTCGCTCTTCTCTCACTGAAGATGGTGAAGGGCAACAGCTAACCAATTTCTTAAGACAGTTTCTAAATCGACTGCTACACGCATAACATACGAATGCGTTCGTGGCAATACTAGTCATGGAAATATTTGTAAAAGCGAAATGCAGCCAGTCGATTGATTCGAGTAGATGAAGAGGTGGGGCAAAGTTCCAGTGGTATTCCAAAATAAGGTTCAGACAATGGTACGGGGCCCAAGAAAAGAAGAAACACAAGACGATCAAAACTCCAACTTTGGTTATACTCCGGTTTCGCTTGCGTTGAAGCTTCTCAGACTCTGAAGTCCTGACTCCCGGGATACTGTGATTCCTTAGCTTGTAGATTATGATACTGTAGGAGACAGTAATGACGACAAGCGGTACCATGAAGAAAGCTACTACCAGGAACAAATACAGGCGCGAGGGAGATTTGATTTGATCAAAAGCGGGAGTCCAAATAGAGAGGCAATAATATGTATTTTCTAGGACAGGGTGGGATACTAGTCGAGCCGTATAAAAATAAATAGCAAAAGAGCCAGATGATATAAGCCATATGAAGGGTATACTGAATCTCGGGTTGAGGTATCTTGGTTGGCGTCTTATGGGATAGACTACAGCATAGAAGCGATCCAAGGCTATTGTGACCATACTCGTGATGGATACAGTAAACGACATGTCCCGAATGAAGTATCCCAGCTTACAGGTGATCACTCCAAACGCGCCTCCAAACATCCATTCTTCTGATAGAGAAATCGGTTGGTGAAGGACATTTGGGATAACGAAGATAACATAGAGGAGATCTGAGATGACCATGTTAATGATAAACAAGTTAGTACTTGTTCTCATCTCCTTGTATTTGATAAAGATGGCGAGAAGGCTAGTATTGCCAAACAGAGATACGACGGCAAGCAGCGAAACGCAGGCAATCTCAACAGCTCTTTTGATTTCTTGAATTTCGAGGAACCAGTCGTCTAACGTTGTTCTTGAAGTTGTTTGATTCGGTAAGAAAAATGAAGATGAATTCAGTGGATTTTGGTGTTGATTGTAGCTCGAATTCATCTCAACGACTGGATCTGCACAATTTGACTTTTAAACTAGTTTGCAGTATTAATGATTCCGGCTCAAAATTCACTGACAACCGTGCACTCCGCTCCGAAGCTGTAAACTGAATCAATTAGATATTTTAAAAGTTAAAACTGGTAAAGGGCTTGGCTTTAGATAATTGAAAAAACAATTTAAATTAGTTTTAATCCCAAAATCTAAAGCCAATTTCTATTCTAATTTTAAACACTGATTAAATAGCTGTGTAATTTTATTACCAATTTAACATAACACTGTTGGATTTGCAGCGAGTAATTTGAAATGCTTTTTGCAAAATAAATGTGTCAAATCAATTATTGGAAATAATAATTGACCATATATGTCGTATAATTTTTATTACGGTAGATTTTGTAACACGGTTGGATTTGAAACAGCGATTTGAAAATCCCTGAAGTTCCTAATGACATCCGGTGTAAAATATTTATTAGTTAACTGTGGGGTGCAAATTAAAAAAAAAAAAAAAATTTCGTCTTTGAAAGAACACAACCAAAATACTTAATAAGTAAGTTGTTATATATTCTTTGTGCTTTGCCTTTTCTTTTTGTAAAATTGAGCTCTGTTTTGGTTGACTGATAAAGATAACGGTTACTAGTTGGGACTGTGCTGGTGTCTTGTGATAATACAAGTGAATGAAAGAATGAAAATGAAATACCGTGTAAAAGACGTGTACTGACGTTAAGGACATTTGTTCTTTGTCAGAGAGTAATAAAAGAAAAAAAATAGGAGAAGAGTAGAATTTTTATAGTGCTCTGTTAAATTCGTTTGGTGATATTATTATGAAATGGAACGGAACTTGTATCAAAGAGGCCGACTGCACTATTCGTTAAAGGTCTTTCTGAAGGTCACGCTGTTGTAAAAACTGTATTTCTAGTGTTGATCACCTTTTCTTCGGTGTTAATCTCTTAGGTCGCGAAGAACTAAGGTGTCTTACATGAAGAGTAGGGCTCTTGGTAGAACTTAGTTCCATTTGTTAGGCCATTTGGTTTGCTAATTAATTGATGAATCATAAAAAAACTAAACTGCTAATCCGGCAGATGAAAGTACCCTAGTGTGCTATAGCAGAGGAATTATTAGGCAGGAGTGCTCGTTATTTCTTGACGAGTTTAATGGGAGCCATTATAACTCAGTATAATCAATTATAGGAACAACTACATGGTTCCTCAAGAAACGCCGCCGAGAAACACGCTGAGAAAAGCCTTCTTTTTTGGCACGCCATTCGAGATTGATGTAGGATTGCTCACAATCGGTTAGATTACTTTTAGATTATTTTCGTCGGAGTAAATTCAATAGTTTCTTTTTCTTTCTTTTCTGACTTGTGACGAGATGAACTTTTTTCTCAAAACTGAGATCCCCGAGTTCAAAAACAAAAATTTGGACTCAAAAAAAACAAAAACAAAAACAACAACAACAACAACAACAACAACAACAACAAAAAAACAACCAAAAAAATCAAAACAAAAAACAAAACAAAACAAAAATTAGACTCAATGGATATTAATTCAGAGTCGATTGCGTACAGTATAATACATAGCTCATCATATTAATTGGCTATTTCCCGTTACCGATCTTTGATTAGCAAAAAAATAACAAAAATAAGAATTAGAATCGATACCCTGTAACAACCTTGACGGTCGGGTTGATCATTCAGATCGAAATCAGAGTACGGTTTGCTCACAGATTGAATATTATAGCAGGTTAGTTTTTGAAAAGGGTAAAGAATACTGGAGAAAAAACCCTTGAATCAAGGGAGAGACCTAACAAACTCTACCTTCGTCACATGATGCCGCCAGTGCACTAACCCATGCTACATCACCCTTGATTATTTCCTTACATTTTAAAATAAATTCAACCGATCAAAAAGAGGGTGGTGTTCCGCATTCTCGAAACCGAAACAGCGTAGCCTTCAGCCTTGTTTACCTCAGAAAAACGGTAACACATTCCCAGTAACAAGAAAGATACCTAGGTTATCAAGATTGCTGTCATGAAGTTTGCCTTTTTCTTCGCAACCGTAATCCTCATTGCTCTTCACCAAGGTAGTGATTATATGATTAACAGGCTCAGCTTGATAGCGCGAATGATTATATACAACAAATCAAAGTAAATCGAAGATCAAACGGCGGCGATTTACTTGCAAGTCGCCTGGTGATTCCACAGGTGCACCTATTCGTCGAGGGAGGGGGAAACCGTTAGAGGCCTCGAAGCAGAGAGAATTACAAGCACTCAACACAACTGAACACCAATTTGGGGATTTGATTACGGACCATAATCATATAAGGACGGACGAGACCCCTCACAGCTGCGCTACCACAAGAGAATATTAAGTACTTCATATTCTCTTGGCTACCAATATTTCCATGTAATTCTGTGTGTGTAATGTGTGTAATGAAAGTCAAGCTTGAATCGTAATCGCCAGCTTAAAGTGAGATTAACGAATATTAATGTTTTTGGTTTACGACTAGCATAAAGAAAGATCAATGCTCTATGTCCTGCAAGTACTTGCAAACGATGATTTGTTTACTTCCAGTGGTTATCAAACCCATGGCGCCTCGTTCCATGGTCAAATTGAAATTCATTAGCTGATTTTCTTGTGTAGCAAGAGAAAAACGCTCGGAGACAACCGAGTATCCTCTCTCCACAAAGATCAACCCCTAAATACCAATTCCATAACGCCACAGATTTGTTAGCCACTGGCTATTAAGTGCTTCCCTTATAAATAGCTAATATTTTATCGTTTGTAAATCCCAGGAGTGAACGGTCTGTGCTTTAGTTCCATTTGCTGCTGCAACATCGTGAGACAGACAGACAACTGTGGGAGGGGTACCTATGGAGCATCAAGGTAGGTTCTTGTAAATGCATCTTAAGCAAGAGTTCCTGCAGACCCTCCTTCAATTTCGGGGAAAAGGCCTTAATTTACTGTAAACATGTTTTGTCGTTTGATTGATGGAAAATTGATATTCTTAAAAATTTTGCGAAGTGAATTTATTCAGATATCCCGGCAAAACCTTTTTAAAGTTATTTTTATACAGATAAGACTAAATGTTTGCCAAAAATAATTTATCGGCATCTGCAAAAATAGCAAATCTTAAGCGTAATGACTAAAGAATACATTTCTCCCTATTTTTTATGTGAGGTCAAAGCAGCTCAATTTGGAGGACAAAACAAAACAAATTCAATCCTGAGAATTGGAATGTCCCCTAAATTGAGCTGCATTCCGACGTACTCCATTCAAATGATTTGTTTTTACACTGAAATACAGGAGTGGAGGACGTCGGTCACACAGAGGAATTGACATCATCTGTCCTGCCAACTCAGACGTGCGTGCGCCCTTTAATGCGACGATTATTCGCACTGCCCGTCCATACAGCAATAACAATGGACGTCATAATACTGGTGTCTTGATGAAAGGCACGGGGAAATGGGCAGGTATTTATGTTTTTATTATGAATTGGAATTTAAAATCGACTTGGAGATTCGTGGAAAATCAAGAGTGGTGTAGCTCTAGTGCACTCGCCTCTCACCTCTAGGGTCTCTATTTCAATTTCCTTACTCAGCGGGCATGATATGTGAGTAGAGTTTGTAGGTTATAGATCTTGTTTTACTCCATCCGCAAAAAAATAGCAAGCCAAATTCCGATTCAGCCCAGAGGTTGTTTCAGGGTTCGATCTGTGAGTTAGCACTGCCCTGACTTTGATCACAGCCCAGAGGTTGTTTCAGGGTTTGATCTGTGAGATAGTCATACCCTGACTTAGATCACAGCCCAGAGGTTGTTTCAGGGTTTGATCTGTGAGATAGTCATACCCTGACTTAGATCACAGCCCAGAGGTTGTTTCAGGGTTCGGTCTGTGAGTTAGCCGTGCACTGACTTTGATCAGCCCAGAGGTTGTTTCAGGGATCAATCTGTGAGTAATGCAGCCGTACCCTGACATTGATCAGCCCAGAGGTTGTTTCAGGGCCTGTATCAATAAAATTTGAAGGCTTTCTATTTTAGGTCATGCTTGCTCCTTTTCGTGCGCACGTAATAATCTACACTTAATAATCTACACTAACTCTTCCAGGAAACTAATGCACTATTGTATATTCCATGTTATCATTTTAGCTCATTCGGTCAAGATGTTCTACGTGAGGAAGACGGTGAATAACGGAGATCATGTCAGAGGAGGAAGCAATATTGGAGTGATGACCAACATGGCACGAGAGTACAGATGTACAATGACTAACCATATTCATGTCCAGTTGTACAAGAACAACAGGATAATTGATCCTACTCCATACACATGTTAATCTTTATATTAGTATCCTCGCTTGCCATGACCCTTGCGGAAGGGGGGGGGGGGTGGTACTCCGCCAGAATTTGGGTAGGGGTGTCCGCTGGGATTCTGAAAGGGGTACCCTGTTTATGACAAAAAAAATCAAATTTGTAGACCCTGTTTATGACAAAAGATATAATTAATTGCACTGAGTTCCTGTTTCAATTATCATGTCATCTCGCGTATCGTTTTTTTACGACCATAACAACCAGTTTCAATCAATACGAAAGTAGAAACCCTGAATATGACAGGAAGCTCAGGAAAAACTTGGAACTTGAGTGAAATTGTATACCCTGTTTATGACAAGAAGCTCGAAAATCCATACCTTGTTCAGCGGATCATTCCCGTATAGTCCATATATGGGAGTACCCCCCCCCCCCCCGGGGACCCTTGCTGTCCAACACCCTTATGGCTATAATCGTCAATCTCGTACCGAGAGCCAGCGTTTCTACTGGCCTGCGGCAAAGAACGTTTTTTAGTTTTTCGCCGCAGGCCAGAAGAAACGCAGGCTCTGGTCTTTTTTCTGGAAAGTGTTGCCCACAGCAGTTCTTATTCGATTACGAACATTCAATATTAGATCATTAGAGCCAGATTAAGTATACAAACTTCGATTAAAAAAGGTCTTTTTATGTAGCCGTACAACTTCAAGCCCTAACTGTTTTCAAAAGAAAATGATGTGATTTTAAAGGAAACTAGCAGCTATACTTTATTCTAAATCAAACCACTTGAACATTTTTACAATGTTAATCATTGAGTAACTTGAGCAATCACCACATCAGCTGTGCATATGACTAACAAAATAAAATAAACATTAAAGCCGAGCAATTAAAGAAAAAGCCCCTAAAAACAAACGTATAAACCCAACATAATGATTCTTTTTGACTTCTGCACTTGGCATCACATGGAAGTATAGTTTATTAATAGCTCCCTGGATTCAAGGGTTTTTCTTCAGGATATCTGTTTTTCTTCCTGCCGCAAAATCTAATAGCCAGCTAAACACTCAGTTCCAATTCCATCCGAACAAATATAGGTTAGGAAACACTGGGAAAGCTGATTAATACAATTTTAAAGTCAATCAAGAGCCATAACATGATCGGATGTTTTTGTTTGCGACATATCAAAACATCGATAAACTATTTCAACAAAACGAGTCCTATTTATCGAAAATATTAAGTTTGTCCATTAAAGAAAAGTTTTCAGTAATTTTAAATCTTTTTTAAGAAATAAGATTTCATTTTTAGACGGCTTAAGAGGTTAGTCTAAACAAAACTAAAATTTAGTGATTTGAGCGAGATACTGTTGTGCTGACTTACAGCACGGATGTCACTTGGAATGCGTTAAAGGAACAATGAAATGGCTTTCTGCTGCTGCCGACGTGGCCTCGGTCACTAAACTATACCGCTAAAGCACAACTATCTAACAGCAGGTCAGAAACCATCAACGATGCTTACTATGCTTTCAACTTAATGATTAATCATTTCGTTTGAGAGAGATACTGCTAGCTTACAGCACGAATGCGGCTTGCAATGTAGTAAACACTGAAATGGTTTTCTGCCATTGACGTGGCTTTTGAGCCTGTAAGCTGTCACTTTGACCATTTCGGCTGCACGGCCTTCAAAAACAATCAAGAAGTAAATTTTTGAAGTACGCAAGGTCAGTTGCTGTCAATACATGTTCTGACAAAACGAAATCCTTTCACGACAAACACAATCAGTCTTCTTTTGTAATTTGAATTTTTAACGAGCCATGTTAGGAGTCTGGGTAGGAGTCGATTTGGAACGGGAGGAGCATTAGAGAAAAGTTTTATAAAAGCGCAAAATAAAACATGCTTTTCTTTTGAACATCAAGTTTGTCCAGTTTCAAGATCTCATAGATTGTCTTTTTCGATCTTACGGTCACGAAACCTTGGACCTGTAAAAGTCAACAGTCGTAGATCTTGTCTTGTTGGAACAAAAACGAAGGAAATAATTGTCGTTTTTCTGGTATCCATGTGAAACCAGGATGCAAAAGTCCAACTTTTACAGGAGGTTTAAATACGAGATGAAACGTTGTCTAGTAACAACAAAGAGGAAAGATGAAGTGTAGTTTTTTGTGACGGCAAAGATCCAACACCTACTGTCAACTTTATTCCTCTAGGAAATCATATTTATATTTACCGACTGACACGAAGGAAATGAACGGCTTACATTTTAATAAAAGAATTGGGAATAATATATAGGAAAGCCGGGAAATAAACAAACGTGCCAAAACAGTGTAAACATTTGGCTTTAGGAGACAGATATCGGAACAAGACATCAACAAAGGTATTAAGATCCTTCCACAAAACTCTAATCTATTATTGAGAAAAAAACACAAGTTAACAATTTTTTAAATTCCACTTCGGAAGAAGATTAGAAAAAACATCATGTAACATTGTAATTAATACTGTATAAACTCAAAACTGATGGGAGGAATGTTTGTGTACGAGGACTTACTAATAATCTGTAGTCATGTTTATATCTTCAAGGTTGTCGTGTTATCGTGCGAAAATAGACGAATAAAAACGAGGCCTCGACATTATTTCCTTTCATCTTAACTTCATCTTATCGTCGGATTTTTCTTAAGATATTTTATTGAGGTCATAGGAACAAATAAAGCCATATATCTTCGTGGGCAGTGGCTCATATACCGAGATAAAATCAATAAGATCGCCAGCCCGCACTATATGAAATGTTTTCCCGCCTTTTCCCAACCACGTGACAAAACCTGCTCACGTGGCTATTTCGATTGATCCGAGGCTTTTGATTTGTTGCCTTCTAAATTCTTAATCTCCAGACAAAAAAAAAAAAAAAAAACTTCAAAATTTACTTAATAATTGAGAGGTCCTTGGCCTTTGCAAAGCGACAGCAACAAACGGCTTAGTGGAACACATGAACTCATTTCCTGTGCGTCATACGACCGTAAACACTTATTAATGAGAAAGTTCAATTGTAACACGTACAATTAATTAATTCTATGTTATAGACACAGGTTTCTAGAAAAACTGGAGAATAATGTTACCTGAAATAGAATGACAGCGAGCAGTACTTAAGCACTTAGCAATAGTATTAATTTACAGTGAAGTAGAGCCGGGTTCGAGATTGCGCAAGTAACAAGTGTGGTTACAGCAGCTAAACTGTAAGTAAATTCCACGTTCTCTCGATTGCTTGTCGAAGATAGTTTGGGATATTCTGGATTAATAGGAGGTTTGGCTCCGCTTAGTGTAGTAGTGTAGTGTAGTGTAGTGTATATGAAAAACGAACTGAACGACCGACCTGCCTACAAACCTAAACCACTTAGTTTCAATTAACTTTCCGCTGGTTGGAGAAGATAATGTGGGATATTCTGGATTAATAGGATTGACTTGGTTTAGTTTAGGGGAAGTAGCCTTTGACAAACGAACCGACCGACCTACCTACAAACCTAAACCACTTAGTTTCAATTGACTTTCCGTTGGTTGGAAAGGAGCCTCCTTGGTTGGTTGGAGAAGATAGTGTGGGATATTCTGGATTAATAGGAGGTTTGGCTCCGCTTAGTGTAGTAGTGTAGTGTAGTGTAGTGTATACGAAAAACGAACCGAACGACCGACCTGCCTACAAACCTAAACCACTTAGTTTCAATTAACTTTCCGCTGGTTGGAGAAGATAATGTGGGATATTCTGGATTAATTGGCTTGACTCGGCTTAGTGTAGGGAAGTAGCCTTGGTTGACAAACGAACCGAACGAACGACTTACAAAACCTAATCCACTGGCTTAGTTTCAATTGACTTTAGTGAAAAATTGGAGTGAAGTGAAACAAGTGCAGTTTTCTCCACTTTATTTGTTCGGAAATGGACGGATAGAACAACGGGTACACCGACCTACCGACCACCAAAAACTAATACAAGCTGACCTAATCCACTTGGTTTTAATTGGTTATAAGTGAACGGGGATTGAAGTGGAACAAGCGAAGGAGGCCTTCTCCACTTCACTCGTTCGGAAATTGACGGACAAAACAACGGATAGACCGACGTATCAACCGCCAAAAACTAATGCATCACACTCATTTTCAGTTGAATCCTGCAATGTATGAGGAATAAAGAGTGAAATTAAACCTAGTTACTAGGCAACGAGTGGTTTTCAGGGCTATTTGAAACGCGAAGGGAAAAAGCATATTGATCAACACCAATTTCTTGGTCGTAAAAGTAAAGACACAAAACATCCAATTTCCCCCCCGAAAACTATTTCTTTTAAAACATTCAAAGTGCGATTTAATTTAACCCGCTGATAGTTGTGCCCGAAAACTGACAGATTTTCATCCGCACAACCAATATTTTCGATTAGCGATATACAAGCAAACTATTTGTTTACGACTATCCATCAAACCTGAGATTTCGTATTTGTCAATACATTATAAAATGTCCATATTTCTTTAAGTAATTGTCAGCAATTCAATTTTGTTCCTCAGTGTCTGATAGAGCAATGAATGCTGTTCCCCACGTGAAAGGTTCTGTCTCGCAAAACATTTTTCACTAGTGTGCCTAAGACATCCGTTTACTCGTACATCAGTTATTAATTGATGAACGAGTTAACGGATTAATTAACGGATGAATTATTTCTCACTTTCGTTCAGAAAAAAAAGAGAAAATAATTGAAGTTTTGCTGTAAAATATAACGATCATTTCATGCCCTGTTTTTGGTTATTTACTTACGTCCGTGCGAGAAAGCAAAATGACACAAGCTAAGAGGCAGTTTGGCAGATAATTTGACACAGACAGCAAGACAACAGCTGCTGACATTGATAAAACATAGCAATAAAGTGCAGTTTGAAATGAAAAGATTGGGGGAAAAGATCATTTTTTTTGAGCGGAAGACGTAGCGTAGAAATTGCAATGTCGAGTGAACGTCACAGTCTTAATTGATTATAGTGAAAGTGTTCCAAGTTAGTCAAGATATGTAATGATAGGGTCGGCGGTTCGTTTGTGAAGCGTTTTGAGGCTGTCAGCGAAGAACGAGTATATCAGCTTTAAAAAGATGGGAAATTTGCTTACTTTGCAGAAAGACAAAAGCCGAGCCCAATCTAGTGTGGCTATCTCGCATCTCCATTAACAGAGTAATCCTTTTCGCACTTACGCATATCTTTTTTTTCAGAAGAGAAAACGTTTGGCAGGAATTGGCCGCCTTTTTTAACCGTCAACAACGAGGTATTAAATATATTACACCATTCGCAACTCCATTACACAAATAATCTTACATCTATTCATAATTCCAGCTTTAAAAAAGACAATAACACTAAACAATTATCTACGACAGTACTGTAAACAGTAAGAGGATTTTTAGAAGGAAAAACAATATTTTTATACAGAAAAATTATGAATGACAGTAATATGATTTTTGGAAAAGACCGCGACCTGGGAAAATCCGATAGAATTGAATAAGATAAGGTTACAGAGAAGTTAGTCTACGATAACGAAATCATACACTAGCGATACTGGAAGCACTTCTACAGAAGAGTACTATGAATCAACAATAACTTTTACTGGAAGCACCTTCATAGAAGAATACTATGAATTAACAATTATTTTTGTTTTGTTGATATTAGTTCAAGAAAGATTTGAATACAACATCATCATGAATCATCTATGTAACAATACTGGTAATGGAACAGGAGGTAACGGAGCTTGTCCTAATAACCGTGACGACGGACAGACACAAGCTTCTATAACTGAAATTATGAGAATAACATCCATAGTAAGCTACGTGCTGATACTTGTTTTATCAAGCCTGGGAAACTCTACCATCATCGCGACTGTGATCAGAAACAAGTCCATGCAAAACAAAGCAAATGTACTGATCATAAACATGGCTGTATCGGATCTCTTAGCCACGCTGTTCGCATTGCCTAGGATGCTAGACGTTTATATTACCAAGAGTAAAGTTTGGAAGGTTCCCGAGGTCGTTGCGGAAGGAGCTTGCAAGTTCAGTCCATTTATGAGAGAGGTTTCCTGTGCTGTGTCCATCTTCAGCATGGTAGCTATCGCAGTTGATCGATTCTATGCCATCGTTGTGCCAATGCATCGTAAACCAAGACTGCTTGAACTGAAGTTCCTCATTCCAAGCACATGGGTAACAGCGTTGGTAACAAACGCACTTTACTTGTACGCGTTTCAGATGAAGAAGGAAAACGAGTTGCTACAGTGCAAGAACGTCTTGACCTTACAACAGGATAGGATTTTCGACACGTTTAGGTTTGTCGTATTCATAGCAGTTCCTCTTCAAATTTTGGTCTATTTATACATCATAATAGCGATCAAGATGGGCAGGCAAGCAATTCCAGGTGCTACTGGGCAATCCTTCGCAAGCAACAGACGGCATCAAAACAAAAAAATCGTCATATTAGCAGTAACAATTGTGGCATTCTTCTTCATCTCCTGGACCCCTTACTACGTGCTGTTACTCATGTTCATCTACAACGCATGGCAGGTCTACAGGCCTTCGCCGAACGCCATGATAGTTATCTTCATTTTACAACGCGTTTTCACTATTTTGACCTACGCAAGTTTTGCCATCAACCCGATCATCTGCATCGTATTTAGCAGTAATTTTCGACGACATATAACGCGCACATTCTGTAGATCTCACTTGCCTAAAACGCGGACTTTCACGCAACGGACAACAGCAACAAACCGAACTACATCACGGCCTCTCTCTTTGCACAACCTGGATATTTCGTTGGGGCAAGTGACAGGCATCGAAAACCCGACTCACGAAGACGATATCACTTGATTACCTTGGACGTTTGCAGTTGTTTTGCGCTTTGGATTGTAAAGAACACGATAATAGGTTAGAATTGATAAGTTTAGTAGACTGGGAAATCAAGGGATTCGCTGCATGACTAACATTTGGTTGTGTGGTCGGTAGCAGACATTCTATGTTGTTGGCTAGTAAGTCGAGTACGTATAGAAGTAATTCCTGGCTGTTTGCTGAGAGAAAAGAATGCAGAGAAAAAAATAGACAAGAAAGGAATGGAAATGAAAAGAAAAGAAAAGGGGGAAGGAAAATAAGGAAAAATGAAAACTGAAGAAGAAAAGATATAAAATACTAAAAGAAAAAAACAACAACAACAAAAACAGCAACAACAAAAGAAGAAGAAAAAGTGAATTAAAAATAATAATAAAAAGAAAAGAAAAAAAAAAAGAAAAAAAGAAAAAAAAAAAAGAGGAGAGAAGGTAAAGGGCAGATTTAAGTAGAAGTGAGAAAATAAAAACAACCAAAGAGTTCCGTCGAACATTTAATTCGGCCAAAGAATACGTCTTCAAGCTCATCGAGCTATCACCTGGAGTCTGCCAAGAACATCATCCACGACCTAATGTCAACATCAAACTCTAATAACTGGCTTTGCTAAGAAGGAAAAGAGTTTCCTATCACAAAACTGAGTAGGTCATACTCAAGGCAAACAAACCATCTTATATCCAAGTATATCATTATAATCTCAATCAACCAAACCAAAAATAGAGATCCCCCGTGAGATTACCTAACTGGGCTTGAGATAGTTCTGTCAGATGCGAACGAGATAGACTATCTAATCAAACAAAAGCTGAACAAACTTGGGGTTTTGCTACTTGAGATTGTACAATACGATATTCTGTTACTATGGTGTTTTAATATCGTGGAAAACGGGAAAAACGAAAATAAAATGCAAGTAAAACAATGGGAAAACGCAGATAAAGGCATTTATTTTAATTTGTAAGAAACATCTTGGGCTAGGCAGAATAGTATGTTAGGATATTAAAAAAGAAAATTTGAAAATGCAAAGCCTAATATAATGTACTTAAAAAATAAACCAAATTCTGTTGGGATATCCCATTTCAACTTTTCTATAAGCAAGCATTTTAGTTTTAAAAAAATGATGTCAAATATATGTAGGCTATCGCACAATATGGGCAAAGAAACATGTAATCAAAAAATGAAAAAAGGTTGATTTTAATGTGAAATACAATAAATGTAGAGAAAAAGCAACGAGAAAAGAATATTAAGCTATATTTACCAAAGCAAAGTGAATTAACTCGCTCGTTAGTTAGAATAAAAGTTACAAATTAGATATGATGTGAATGAAACACAATGTAAAAAAATAATTATTATTATTAGTTGAAGGGTCCAAAGGAATAAAATACAAAAACTTAAAGAGTACGCTGATTTAAAAAAAATTAGTTGGAAATCCTGCCATTGCAAAGCAAAAAAGTTATCTGAAATGAAGAAGCAGCTGACAAATCTTTTTGGGAAGATGAAGTTGTAGAGAGGGGAGAGGATCTTTAGACAGAAATCCTTGGAGAAAGGGAAAGCTAATTTTGAAATGAAGTAGAAATCTCAGTGGGAAACCGAGCGAGCAGAGGCTGGGAAATCTATGGGATTTAAAATGAAAGAGTTGTACGTAATTCTGTAGAAGGAAGGGGATTCTTCAAGAGTGAAAATCGAAATTCGTGGAGAAAGAGTAGGGTTGGGTTTGGGTCACATCATTTCAAGAAAGACAGTACTTATTGGTGTATAGAGTAGTTTTCGTATGACTGCGAAAAGCTCAGTGCCGTAAGCGTGACGTGCCGTGATACTTTCTAGAATTTTAATTGGCTGATGTTTTTCACGCGCAATATGATTGGTCTAAAAGTGCCGTGATCTTGGCGTGTCCGTGTCCGCGCCGTGTTCCGGGTATTTGATTGGATGGAGAGTACATTCTCGTGCAATGTGATTGGTCTGGCGTATCCCTTGCTGTGTCACGACCGTGTTCGTGCCCTGAACTTTTCAAAGTCATACGAAAACTGCACTATGAAGACACACGCAGTTAACGCAGAGCAAAACGTTTCCTGTATATCATACAGGAACATTAATAACACTATACTATCTATACTTTATGTAATGAACACCGGAACACACAACCAGTTCAATGAAAATACCGTCCTTTGCAATTTTTTGTATAAGGTCGGGAAGAACTCAGTGAAGAGAAGCTGAGCCTCTCATTGGTCAAAAGCGACGCAGGGTTGAGCTTTTTATCGCTAAGACATTAAGAAGTCGCGTATACACCTATTTCAGAAATCGTTGTCGCACCAAAAGCCTCAAGCAACAAGCCAAGACCGCAGAGAACACCATTACTTTTAGCTGTAATTAGTTTATTCATGGTGCATCTTCATTTATTGACTTCACAAATTGCTCTAAGCAAGGCTGCTTGAGCTGATAATTAGTGGAGAGCTATAACCACTTGCATGAACCATGAATAAATAAATTATAATTATAAGTGCCGACGTTCTCTGGAGCCTTGGCTTGTTACTTGAGGCTCTTGGTGCGACAACCATTTTCGAAATAGGTGTATCAATAAACCAAATATATTAAAGAGCTAATGTCGTACGAATCATTTTACTTGATTTTTTTGAATCGATATTGAAATAATTTTTTTCTGACAATTTAAGAAGAAAAAAGACTGACTTCTTAGTTAGCCAGAAATTACTGCTCAAAAGCACGGCTCCATGAAATGGTCTTTAATAATCAACCTCGCTCACTTCGACCACCGACCGACCATTTGACTGCCTGCAAGATTGAGGCATAAAGCTGATGTTACACGGGACGTTTCGCAACGACGATTTTTGATGCGACTCGTCGATTTTTAATACATGTTACACGAGTTAGCTTTGCGCGCAAGGTTCGCTCGAAAATCAACATGTTACACGGGACGATTTTTAGCGATTTTTAAAAGTAACAACCTCGTCCTCGGCTACGCCTCGTGACACTCTTAACGCTCGTTAATCGTTCTTTATATTTTCTCTCGTGCGTCTATAACGCCATGGGCGCACGACTTTCTGTTGTCTAATTGATAATAAACCTATAGGTAAGTCTGGAGTAAAAGAAGTATAACCTTTCGATACGGATCTGTTTCTGGTGGTCGGTTGGCGTAGGTTTTCGAGCTAAAGGAAAAGGTTATCTTACCACGCGAGACATGTGACAAAAAGATTACTTCAATGTTAAACTACTTCTAAAAGTTTAAATATTTGATTGATGAAAAATCAAGCATGTGATAATGAAAACGATAGGCAGAACAAAAATCAGATAAGATTGTGCACTAGCTTTTATCTGTGTACAATAATCTTAGAATGCAAAAGATAGTAGAAAAATTAAAGTGTTCTTAATTAAGTTTAGCTTTCGTGGGTGTGAGCCAGGTACTTTCATGATCACAGCGAAAGGGTTGTCTCACTTCCTCACATATTGTCAATCATTTTTATCTTTATGTGGAAAAAAAAGGCGAGTATACGAACATTTTAGCTTTTTTCTCCGGATATAGACGCTTTTATATTTAAACTGAATTAAATGTAAAAAATACTTTGGTGAAAATTGCAAAATTGCACAAAATAGCAAATCCAGTCCATCATCTCTATACATTACAAATATATTTGTTATGCTATTAGGAAATTTTTAAAACTAATTAGAATCAACTATAAATAATTTCAAACGAACACAAACAAAGTGTAGCCTCAAGTTTTTCAGTGTCTATATGTGTCGCCCTTTTAGTGAAAATAAAATTGATTATTATAAATAAATAAGAAAGATCAAGGACAATAAGTCAGAGATTATTAGATTTTGATTTAATTCATGGTTTACATAGACATATATATAAACTCCTTTCACGCTATTTACACATGTATAAATGTACTGTCTCGAAGCATTAAAACACCATGACACCATCAGTAAACATCCATTATCTATGGGAAGGACGTTTCAACTTTATATTAATTACACATGTCAATTGACTATAATCTTATCTTTTTTTGTTGCTTTTAGCATAATAAAGGATGGTTGCTGGACTTTCCGACTTTCTTCACTAATTACGCGCAAAGCCACAACCAGAAAACAAATTAGTAAATTTACTTTTTTTTAATTTCACATATACTCAGTTTTTTCCCCTGTTCTTTCAGAAAAGCGCGTTGTCAAATTCAGGAAGCCTGTTTTTTTTTTTTTTAATCGATTAATGTTGGATAAGGGGTTGACTTTCCCCAGAGGAAATACATTAGGAGAACACTTAGCTATTGCTAATTCTTCTTTTCTGACTATTTAAAGAAATTTTAAAGTAATATTGTCTCTGTGTACACTAGACGAGTGCCTGCCTGTGTGCACTTAGTATATATGAAGAATAGGGTTGGACTTGAACCATAACAGCCAAAATATCAATTAGAGCGGTTTTGGCTATGTGTGGGAAACGTACGTTACTGACTTATAGCACGAACACAGTAAACGACATTCAAATGGCTATTGTATGAATGGGAAACGTGCGGTACTGACTTATACAGCCGGCACAAACACAATACGACATGCCGTAACATTGAAATGGCTATCGTACAAATGGGTAAATGGGAAACGTACGGTACTGACTTACAGCCGGCACCAACACAA